TTTTCACTCACATGGAGACGCCACCACTCGCCGGTGGAGACTGTAAATTTTTGTCCTATACTTTGGCAATTGAGCAGTGGGGAATCTTTTTTATGCCAGCATCTTCTGCGACAAGGGACCTCGATTTATACGATCTCATCCAAAGGACCGGTCTCCACGTCCCACAGTCGAAGTTCATAATACCTAGATATTTTATTTTTTATTTTATTTTATTTTTTTTCACAAGTTTGTTGCAGCAGATTTACTTAAAGATCATACTTCAAGATCATTTCGAACTCAGGCTACTTAATTGCAGTGCTTACAGCGTCAAGTGATTTTGATTGACAGGTCAACACACGTGCACTTCGTGTGATACTTTTTAAGCTGAAAAATATACAGGATGTGACCATGACTGACTATGAAATCAGAAAACATCTAATAAAGAATGGGTGTGACCGATAAAGAACTAATTTTTGGTCTGGATCGGGATTAAGAGGGAATCTCTCTCCTCTCTCTCCTTTTCTCTCTCAGACATGTAAATTGAACATTTCATAATTATAAAATATGAAATTCTGTATACATGTAAATGGTAATGTTATTCACATGTTCCAGATTTAAATCTAAAACGAATATATAATTCAAATTCAAGACGGGGGGGGGGGGGGCTTCAAAGGAATTAGATAATTTTATGAATTACAAGGAAAAGTACGGACGTCAGTTGCATGTACATGATTATATATCATTGCATAAAATTGTGTTCATTCAGATATACTTATCCCACATATCAACAGACTTGTACAATTTTTTTATCATGTTTTTTTTTCCAAAAGAAACATATAGCGTACCATTATTTCACACACTCTTTAACTCTTTGAGTATTTCACAAGAATCCAAGAATCGCCTTTTCACATCTTTTATAATTCCTTGGGTATATAGAGTATAGATCATGTGTCATAAATAATTTAACCTTTTATCAAATATATATGTAATAACCAAATCTAATCTATAGATTGATTTTCTTTAAGTGGCAGATATCAATTTATTTATAAAGGCTTTAAAACAGTACTGTTTTACAATTTTCTATCGCTTAATTCCTTTTTTGAGTGTATGTAATATTTTTTAATATCGAAAGTAAAACTCGGAAATCGGGATAATTTCGCATTCAGATCATAGAGAATAATAAATCGTCTGCATTATAGAAGGCTTATAACTATCGTATTCTGAACTTAATATACGAAATAGATAAAACTGCATGCCTGTCCATCACTATAAATGTATATTCAGTGCTTATAATATATTTACTTGAATTAGCTACCTAGCATATATATATTAATTTTTTTTTTAGATATATTCATGTGTAAATTAACTAACTGTCAATACAGACTTACACTACACTGGCAACTTCAAACTTTACATGCACTGGAAGCGGTAACCAACGTCCTCTTAAATTTTGAAGAGTGAATATAGAACGTCTAAATATTTTGATATGGAGAGTGTATATGTCTCTAACGTCATCGATACTATTTCCGCCTTTATCTCGAAAGTTCTATTTTCACTTACAAGTCAGAGTTATCTTTCTTTGCCCATTGTCTACACACTAGGTAAATAGGGAAAATGAGGGTACCGAAAATCTGCAAAATGTGGAATCTGATTTCAAAACAAATTATATATTTAGTATTTGTAGAATAACCTCTGTTATACATAATAATATCTTGAAAAAATATTAAAAAACAAAAAAGTTGAAAATTGACCAAACACAACTTCACTTCCGGTTCGAACAGGAAGTACCGGAAACACACGAAAACAACTTCGAAACAAAGAGAATGTCATGATCTAATACCCCTGTAAATTTCACATCTTTACCTCAAACCGTTTCCGAGAAAAATTCCGGACAAAAGTCCATTTAAAAATTGGAAATTCGGCCGTAACTTCGGACCGGAAGTGAATTTTTCAAAAAACGGAATTTTATATAAACTTCATATATTAGCCTACTATCATGTGAAAAATTGTGAAAATCTATCCAACCATCTCTGAGTAATCGCGCTCACAAAATTTGGGAGGAATAATAATAATAATAATAACTAGACTCTTGTTGCCATGGCAACAAAAAAGTCTTCCGTTCTTCTAAATCTGTAAGAATTTGCTTTTTTCTGTGTAAAAACATACATATCATATTTACTGTGAAAGAAAAAAGTCCTGTCAGTACTTAAGGTACTTTGATTTTCATTATCAATCTCGTATAATACATTTGGCACCTATAAGAGATATACGTATATCATTAGCAATTTAACAAAAAATTGTTTGCAATCATTTCTAAGTCAAACAAACAGATGAACGAACACCGTACTATCATAAACTTCACAGTGTGTATGTTTAGGCATAATTGTGATGGTGGTATAAAAAAATATAATGAATTAAGTTAGTATCACATTAAATGTAAAGTCACTGAGTTTTGTAAAGTTATAATATCAAGATCTGACAGCATACCTATAAGACAGATTATTCAATTACAGTAATTCTTCAGCAATCGATTGATTGATTATACGTATATGTGTTGTTTAACGTCCCTCTCCAGAATTTTTCACTCACATGGAGACGCCACCACTCGCCGGTGGAGACTGCAAATTTTTGTCCTATACTTTGGCATTTATCGCAATTGAGCAGTGGGGAATCTTTTTTATGCCAGCACCTTCTGCGACAAGGGACCTCGATTTATACGATCTCATCCAAAGGACCGGTCTCCACGTCCCACAATCGAAGTTCATAATACCGAGATATTTTATTTTTTATTTTATTGTATTTTTTCACAAGTTTGTTGCATAAGATTTACTTAGAGATCATACTTCAAGAGCATTTCGAACTCAGGCTACTTAATTGCAGTGCATACAGCGTCAAGTGATTTTGATTGACAGGTCAACACACGTGCACTTTAAGCTGAAAAATATACAGGATGTGACCATGACTGACTATGAAATCAGAAAACATTTAATAAAGAATGGGTGTGACCGATATAGAATTTATTTTTGGTCTATGTAAATGGATAGGAGGATCGGGATTAAGAGGGAATCTCTCTCTCTCCCCCCCTCTCTCTCTCCCAGACGTAAATTGAACATTTCATAATGACAAATCTACCATTATAGAATATGAAATTCTGTATACATGTAAATGGTAATTATATTCACATGTTCCAGATTTAAATCTAAAACGAATATATAATTCAAATGCCTAGCTGCACGAACGTCTTCAAATATTAATCAAGATGGGGGGGGGGGGTGGCTTCAAAGGAATTAGATAGTTTTATGTTTTCTGAATTATAAGGAAAAGTACGGACGTCAGTTGCATGTACATAATTATATATCATTGCATAAAATTGTGTTCATTCAGGTATACTTATCCCACATATCAAGAGACCTGTGCAATTTTTTAATCATGGTTTTTTTTTTCAAAAGAAACATATAGCGTACCATTATTTCACACAGAATCGCGTTTTCACATTTTTTTTTTTTAACTCTTTGAGTATTTCACAAGAATCCAAGAATCGTCTTTTCACATATTTTATAATTCCTTGGGTATATAGAGTATAGATCATGTGTCATAAATAATTTAACTTTTTATCAAATATACATGTAATAACCAAATCTAATCTATAGATTGACTTTCTTTCTTTAAGTAGCAGATGTCAATTTATTTATAAAGGCTTTAAAACAGTACTGTATTACAATTTTCTATCACTCAATTCCTTTTTGAGTGTATGTAATATTTTTTTAATATCGAAAATAAAACTCGGAAATCGGGATAATTTCGCATTCAAATCATAGAGAATAATAAATCGTCTGCATTATAGAAGGCTTATAACTATCGTATTCTGAACTTACTATACGAGATAGATAAAACTGCATGCCTGTCCATCACTATAAATGTATATTCAGTGCTTATAATATATTTACTTGAATTAGCTACCTAGCATATATATTAATTTTTTTTTAGATATATTCATGTGTAAATCAATTAACTGTCAATACAGACTTACACTACATCAATACAGACTTACACTACACTGGCAACTTTAAACTATACATGCACTGGAAGCGGTAACCAACGTACTCTTACATTTAGAAGAGTGAATATGGAACGTCTAAATATTTTGATATGGAGAGTGGAGAGTATATATGTCTTTGACGTCATCGATACTATTTCCGCCTTTATCTCGAAAGTTCTATTCTCACTTACAAGTCAGAGTTATCTTTCTTTGCCCATTGTTTACACACTAGGTAAATAGGGAAAATGACGGTACCGAAAATCTGCAAAATGTGGAATCTGATTTCAAAACAAATTATATATTTAGTATTTGTAGAATAACCTCTGTTATACATAATAATATCTTGAAAAAATATTAAAAAACAAAAAAGTTGAAAATTGACCAAACACAAGTTCACTTCCGGTTCGGACAGGAAGTACCGGAAACACACGAAAACAACTTCGAAACAAAGAGAATGTCATGATCTAATACTCCTGTAAATTTCACATCTTTACCTCAAACCGTTTCCGAGAAAAATTCCGGACAAAAGTCCATTTAAAAATTGGAAATTCGGCCGTAACTTCGGACCGGAAGTGAATTTTTCAAAAAACGGAATTTTATATAAACTTCATATATCGGCCTACTATCATGTGAAAAATTGTGAAAATCTATCCAACCATTTCTGAGTAATCGCGCTCACAAAATTTGGGAGGAATAATAATAATAATAATAATAACTAGACTCTTGTTGCCATGGCAACAAAAAGGTCTTCCGTTTTTCTATATAATCTGTAAGAATTCGCTTTTTTCTATGTAGAAAAGAAAACAACACATACAATATTTAACTGGAAAAATACCCTTTCAGTACTTAAGGTACTTTGATTTTGATGACCAATTAGCACCTATGGATAGAATTGGAGAGCTCGGTTGTAACACGTGGCAACATTTCGTATGTATCGAAAGTTGGTCACATTAAGCTGCCGAAGATCTTTTCCAGATAGTAAATGAACAGAATTACTTCCAAGAAGAAAAAGAAATATCTCGTCATCTGTCATTGCACAAATTTCTGCAGAGAGGTGGACATCAAAATTATTGGAAATGTCATCCCACCAGCCATTACGTAAATCCGATGTCAGCGAGCAAGAACAGGTGATGTGCATAAATATATCTAGAAAGATTTTGCCACAGAATCTGCAGATGTCTGGAATCTCTTCAGGAGGACTTGCTATGAGTTTCAAATAAATTTACATAACAGGATTTCATACGAGTTCGAAGGAACTGGCCATACGAAACAGGGGTTCTGATTTAGACAGGAAACGGTGAAAATCAGTGTCGTTTAACATTCTATTGTTTATCATTTATATATCAGATACTCAAAACTTCGTATAAATTAGCAAACATTGAATGATTACATCCTCTTTTGTTAAAAATACATAAGAACACAAAATAAATAAATAAAACTTTTCGGATTAAATAATTATAAATTATTGCTATTAGACTTTATGTTAACTGTTATTAAAATAACCCTTATTTAATATAGGTCTATATCGGCAAATTAATTAAAACCTTGTAAATTATGATAGTCTTAATCCTGTATGAGGCATATTCGCCGGGGGGTGGTGGTGGGGGTGTGGTGGAGGTTCATAGCCGATTAAAAGTGAGAAAAACAAGATCCGACTAAAAAAGCAACATCTTAAAAATATAGTCACGTATTGAATGAAATACTATATACTACACATGTAAATACTATAAATTAAATTTGTTTTTACTCGTCTTGCGTAATCACGGCGGAACCAGACAATCTGTTTTGCTTTCTTTAATACATGATTTTAATAGCGAGAAAAAATAACGCCAGGTGAATTTTGTTGTTTAGAATGTTAGAATTATTTCACCCTATTCTTTGTTCAATAAAATTTATCCGAGATATTTTTTGTTTTACACAGAAAAACCGATGATCCGAAAGTTCATGTACCATAAACGCAGTATTTTTAAAAAGTTTTTTAAAGACTAAATTATACAAACAAAATATAAACATTATACAAATGATATAAATCAACGGGTGTAGTTTATGGACATCATTTCATTAAATTCGTTTATATAAATTTTGATTTATAATTTAAGCCTAGAATTTAAAAAAAAAAAATCCATAAATGGTACAATTATCTCATTTTCTTAGGATAACATCTTTATTTTCTATTAAGTGTTGTTCATTCAAGTTATGAACAGAATCCCGAAAATAAGTACATTGTAGATGCATTTAATTGGAACCAGATGGTATTCAAGGTAAATACTTCACACCGGGTGCAAGAGAAGTGCAGGTATGTTGACGATATCTCGTATACAGTTTGAAAGTATTTCTCTTGAATTTATAGCCCGAATCAGAGCATAGGTTTACCCAGAAATATTTTCTATAATTTACATGTAGAAGCAGTTCCGTATTCTGTACATGTACATGTATTTCACAAAGTCAGTTTCCAAAATTCAATACAGCATAATTATGCATCAAGTAAGTCTATTTATAGTAATAGGTACTTTCCATTTAAATGGTAGTAGGCGAAATACTTTTATATAGAATACTGCAGTTCATACAGCGTCAAGTGATTTTGATTGACAGGCCAAACACTTCGTGTGATACTTTAAGCAGAAAAAACAGGTTGTGATCATGTCTGACTTTGAAATCAAAGAACATTTATTAAAGATATAGAACATTTCTTTGCTCTATGTATGTATGGATAGGAGGAGTGATTAAGAGGGAATCTCTCTCTCTCTCTCTCTCTCTCTCTCTCGACATCTAAATTTAACATTTCAATATCATAATTTCATATTATGAGAAAAAATCTACCATTATAGAATATGAAGAAACTATAACCACATGTTCTGGATTTAAATATATAATGAATATATAACTTAAATACCGCCTATTTGCGCCACCTTCTCCAAATATAAATCAAGACAGGGGTGGGGCGCTTCAAAGGAAGTACAATGTAGATAGTTTAATACTTATCCGACCTATCAATTGACCTGTGCATTTTTTTTTATCACTGTAATAATTCTTTTTCAGAAGAAACATCTAGCAGAGCCATAATTCACACACGATCGCCTTTTCACATAATATTTTATTAACTCTTTGAGTATTTCACAAGAATCGCCTTTTCGCATAATTTTAAGTGACGGGTTTCAGTTTATATCAAAAAGCTTTAAAGCTGTATTACGATTGCATTCCATCACTATAAATGTATACTGTCTATAATATATATTTACTTGAATGTGCTAGCTGCCATATATCAGTTTATTTTAGATATATATACATGTGTAAATACATATGCATTCTTCAATAACTGTCAATATGTACAGTCTTACACTGCAGTGGCAACTTTATACACTGAATGTGGAAAGCAACGTACTCTTACATGTAGAAGAGAGTGAATATGAAACGTCTAAATAGAATGCAGACATCGACAACGTCATCGATACTATTTCCGCCTTTATCTCGAAAGTTCTATTCTCACTTACAAGTCAGAGTTATCTTTCTTTGCCCATTACGTAAATAGGGAAAATGACGGTACCGAAAATCTACAAAATGTGGAATCTGATTTCAAAACAAATTATATATTTAGTATTTGTAGACTAATCTCTGTTATACATAAAAATATCTTGAAAAAATATTAAGAAACAAAAAAGTTTAAAATTGACCATACACAAGTTCACTTCCGGTTCGGACAGGAAGTACCGGAAACACACGAAAACAACTTCGAAACAAAGAAAATGTCATGATCTAATACTCCTGTAAATTTCACATCTTTACCTCAAACCATTTCCGAGAAAAATTCTGGACAAAAGTCCATTTAAAAATTGGAAATTCGGCCGTAACTTCGGACCGGAAGTGAATTTTTCAAAAAACGGAATTTTATATAAACTTCATATATCAGCCTAGTATCATGTGAAAAATTGTGAAAATCTATCCAACCATCTCTGAGTAATCGCGCTCACAAAATTTGGGAGGAATAATAATAATAATAATAATAATAATAATAAAAAGAAACAATACAATCACTATAGGTCTTCCGTTGTGAACGGAAGACCTAATAATAAAAAGAAACAATACAATCACTATAAGTCTTCCGTTGTGAACGGAAGACTTAAAAAGAAACAATACAATCACTATAAGTCTTCCGTTGTGAACGGAAGACTTAATAACTAGACTCTTGTTGCCATGGCAACAAAAAGATCTTCCGTTCCTATATGATTCCATTTGCATTGATTTTTTTATGTAGTACAGTATGTAATAATTAAGTTGTAAAGAATCTAAAATTTGTCCCTTTGGTACTTGCAGTCCATTGACTTTTACTGCAAAAATGAACGTATCTGTTGTCTTTATATAAGATATTGTATGCATGTTTTTTTTTTTCATTAGTAGAAGTATATCTAAACTATTTTAAATTTAAAAGTTAAATGGGGGAGGGGGGGAGGGTTATCTAGAAAAAAACCTGTCAGTTCTTACAGTACTTTGATTTTCACTACAAATATGAAAGTATCCACCATCCTTATATATAAACATGACAAATTATAATACATGTAGTGAAATGAATTTTGCATTTAGAGAAACATCTATATATAAGTCAAAGTAAAAAAGAATAGCAAATATTCTTTCAGTCCTTGCGGTACTTTGATTTTTACTGGCTAATAAAAATAGCTTCCATAGGTAACTTATTGTATGCATTGATATTTATGTATAGAAAAACATGCCTGTTTATACTACACTGTAGTTAGAAAAAATTGGGTATCTAAAACAGTCCTCTCAGTACTTCAGGTACTTTGATATTTACTGCAATTAAATGTAGTCTTCAATCTTATATATGATACTGTATGTATTGATTTTTGTATGCAGAGAAACAAGTAAACATAACCTTCATGTAAGTTAAAGTAAGAAATGCCCTCTCAGTACTTTCAGTACTTTGATTTTTTTAAGCAAAACGAAAATAGCTGAAATCTACAAAACGGGTGATCTGATTTCAAAACAAATCATATATTTGGCTCTGATGGACGTATCGCTATTACGCCTAAAAATATCTTGAAAATATATTTAAAAACAAAAAATTCGAAAATTGACTGAAACACAAATTCACTTCCGGTTCAGACAGGAAGTTCCAGAAACAAACGAAAATCACGTAGAAACAAAGAGAATGTCATGATCTATTATTCCTGTAAATTTCACATCTTTACCTCAAACCCCTTCTGAGAAAAACACCGGACAAAAGTGCATTTTAAAATTTGAAATTCGGTCATAACTTCCGACCAGAAGTGAATTTTTCAAAAAACGGAATTTTATATAAACTTCACATATCAACCTATTATCCTGTAAAAAATTGTGAAAATCTATCGAAACATCTCCGAGTAATCGCACTCACAAAATTTGGGAGGAATAATAATAATAATAATAACTAGAAACTCATTGCGAGCAATGAGAGGTCTTCCGTCCGATTTTGAAAATAAAAACGAAAATTCAAGCTGAAAAAGAGATAAAAGAAATTCAGACACTCTGGAGATTTAACTCTAGTCGTCAGCGTGAAAATCCAACGTGCTAACCATTTACCATTCACTTTTTTACATCACTTCCGGTCACGACCGGAAATACTGAAAGTAACGGCGATACAAGATTTTCTCACGATTCAAATAAACTGATGACTGACCATCAGTCCAGAAAGTTTTAGACCTTAGTCGTTTACTGTCGTTGCCGAGCAATATTGTGAGATCAAATTCTAATTTTGAGGACAGGTAAACACGAGACCGGAAGTGAATTTTATAAAAAATCTCTGACTTTTCTCTAGACATTTGCAGTATATACAACATACATAAAGTCATTTCAAGTACTTTATCGATGAGCAATATTTATGAGAAAGTTAAATATCAAAATAAAGTAGTTTATCTCCTAGAACCGGAAGTTGACGTTTTTATTTCCGGTGGAATCTAACATATTTCAAAACAGCGAAAGAGATGCAATAAAGTGATGCAAGCATTAATTTAAAAAAGAAAAGTTTGTTTTTTTTAGATTTCTTTGATCACTTACTGTGACAAGCGGAAGTGACGACTGACGCGTTTAACCCAAATGGTTTTGCCTACTCCTCAAGGTCTATTACTCATAAAAGATTGGTGTTTTATTCTTTTACCTGGTTTTGAGATCTCGCTCAGACAACTTCACATTTTGAGGACAGGAAGACATGCGACCGGAAGTGAATTTTTGAAAGATATTTAAGGTTACTCTAGACATTTGCAGTCTGAATAACATATTTAAAATTCATTTCAAATACTTTATCTAGAAAAAATATTGATGGGAAAGTAAAATACTCAAATTATGTAGTTTTTCTCTTATAACCGGAAGTTGTCATTTTTGTTTCCGGTGGGACCAACATCTTTCGAATCTGAGAAAAAGATGCAATGAAGTGATGCAATTTTTACTTAAAAAAAGAAAAATTGAAATTTTCGATTTCTTGGATCACTTCCTGTGACGACCGGAAGTGAAGGCCGACGCTCTGAACCCAATTGGTTTTGCCTACATCTTAAGGTCTGATGCTCATATAAGTTTGGTGTCCTAATCTCTCACCGTTTCCGAGATCTTGTTCAGACAACTTCTCATTTTGAGGACAGGAAAACACGCGACCGGAAGTGAATTTTACAAAGATAATTAATGTTACTCTAGATATTTGCAATCTAAATAACATATGTAAAATTCATTTCAAATACCTTATCTACAAAGGATATTAATGGGAAAGAAAAATACTCAAATTATGTAGTTTTTCTCTTATAACCGGAAGTTGACGTTTTTGTTTCCGGTGGGACATATTTCGAAGCTACGAAAGAGATGCAATAATGTTGTGTAGGATTTGATTTGAAAATGCAAAGTTGAAATTTTACGATTTCTTTGATCACTTCCGTAAGCGACCGGAAGTGCCGACGACGAACGAAAAGGTAATTCTGTTCACCTATAAGTCATGCCCTATACTCTCTTACAAGTCTCCAGTTCATATCTTTTACCATTTTTGCAAAAAAGGGGCGACAAAATTTCATTTTAAAATCAGGAAATTGTCCATAACTTGGCACCGGAAGCGAATTTTCAAAATTCCTCCAAGATGTATCAAGTTCCTATAAATGCACATTATTCCTGAAAATTTCATAGAAAACCACTGAATAGTTGCTGAGAAATCGCGTGCACAAAATTTAGGGAAAAAAATAAGAATAATAATAATAATAATAATAATAAGAAACAGTAGAATCACTATAAGGTCTTCCGTGAAGACGGAAGACCTTAAAAAGAAACAATACAATCACTATAGGTCTTCCATTGTGAACGGAAGACCTAATAAGAAACAGAGTAAAAACAATATGTTCCCAAACTCCGTTTGGGGAACATAATTATGACGCCTTTAGTCTTTATCGCTCTGTTAAATCAGCATTATAATTAAACTAACTGACTTCAAAACTTTATTATTAGTCGAAAGATATTTGCTTTATAAGTAAAAAATTTTTAAAAAAACACTATCAATGACATAGATAATATTTAACTACACTGTACTAAGTCGAAAAAGGGTGATAACACAATTCGATCTCAAACACAGACTCATCAATCGCCTAATTGGGATAATTGGGATGTACTATCCAAAATGGGATACAACTTTACAGTACAATTTTTGTCCCCGGCTTTCACTGAAAGTGGGGGATATTAATTTGGTTTGGTCTGTCCGTCCATCCCTCCATCTGTCTGTATTTCTATCTGTCTGTAACACTTTCGTTTTCGCGCAGTATCTCGATAAGCCTTTGAGCTTTTGCAATGAAATTTTACATAACAACTCCCTTTGGCCTAAAGAAGACCCCTACTTATTTTGAGGCCAAAACGTCAAAGTCATAAATTCTGTCTGTTTTAACACTTTCGTTTCCGAGCGATATCCCATGAATCCTTTGAGCTTTTGCTATGAAATTTTATACCACAACTCCCTATGGAATAAGGAAGACCCTTACTGATTTTTAAGTCAAAAGGTCAAGGTTGACTCCCTCTAGTTCCGTGCATGGTCTTTTTTCCTTAAGCTGGAGACACACATTCTCTGAATGTGTGCCCCCTTGTTTTCCCTTGTCATAATTATTATAAGACCTAATATTATTAGCTCACCTGAGCTGAAAGCTCAGGAGAACTTTTCTGATCACATTTTGTCCGTAGTCCGTCTGTCTTTAAACTTTTCACATTTTCGACTTCTTCTCAAGAACCACTGGGCCAATTTCAACCAAACTTGCACAAAGCATCCTCGAGTGAAGTGGATTCAAGTTTGTTCAAATGAAAGGCCAAAACCTCTTTCAGGGAATAGATCTAATTAAAATTAGTGAAAATTTGGCGGTATCTTTTAAAAATCTTCTCTAGGCTCGGAAATATGAAACTTAACTGGAATCATCCACAGGTACAGGTAGTGTTGATTAAGTTTGTTCAAATCATGACCCTGGGGGAGATGGGGCCACAATAAGTGATAAAATTTTTACATCATCTTCGCTAGCCAAGGGTTTCTGATCCTCTACTCTTCTCATAATCTCTAGGGTTTGTGAGGAGAGTAGCGGATCAAAAACCCTTGGCTAACGAAGATGATCTTTACATAGGAATACACAGGAATAATTTTTAAAAATCTTCGCAACTGTTCCTTCGCCATGCGCTCGGCACTTTGAAGTGAAAGTTGCGGGTCCTTCAGATGATACCTTAAAAACCGAGGCCCCGTGTCACGGCAGGCGTTGGCACGATAAAGATCCCTCACTGCTCAATGGCCCTGAGTGCCAAATAAAGGTCAAAATATGAAGCCCTTCACCGGTATATGGTGACGTCTCTATATGAGTGAAAAATTCTCGAATGGGACGTAAAGCTACATACAATCAATCAATCTTCTCAAAAATGCTCAAGAATAGCAAAGCTATGATTAATCATATTTATATGGAAGCAGATTCAAGTTTGTTCAAATCATGACCCCCCGGAGTTAGGTTGGGGCCACAATGGACAATCAAAATTTTACAAGGAATACATAGGAACAATCTTTAAAAATCTTCATCTCAAGAACAGCAAAGCCATGTTTAGTCATATTTTATATATAAAAGCATCCTCAGATAATGTAGATGCTAATTCGTTCAAATCATGACCTTATATAGAAGAATCCTCAGGGAATGTAGATTCTAATTTGTTTAAATCAAGACCTCCCAGGAGTAAAGAGGAGCCACATTTTATATATAGAAACATCCTCAGGTAATGTAGATTCTAATTTGTTCAAATCATGACCTCCCAGGAGTAAAGAGGAGCCACAACAGGGGATCAGGGGATCAAAGTTATTCAAAGGAATAAAAAGGATATATCAATAAAAATTTTCTTCTCAAAAAAAAAGCAAAGCCAAGATTAGTCATATTTATTTAGAAGCATCCTCACGTGGTGTAGACTGATTCAAGTGTGTTCAAATCATGTCCCGGGGGGAGGGAAAGGTCACTATAGAAGATCAAACTTATAGAAAAATTCTTGAAAAATCTACATGATTAGTCAAAGAAATATGGAAGCATCCTCAGTAGTGTAGATTCAAGTTTGTTCAAATCCTCCCCCTAGCTTTCAATACTGAACTGATTTCTGCTATTTCCTAGCTAAAGTTCTCAGGTGAGTGTCGCGGCACATGAGCCTCTTGTTTTTAATGTAAATTTAAATCCTATATGGGATGTTATACCCCAAATGGGCTATTTTATCCTATTTGGGCGATTGGTTCTAGTTAGAATAATCTCGGGAATAATCCTGTGTCTCGGGACAGGCCCTCACCACTGGGTCCGTAGGACATTTATTATTTTAACGATAGAACATGGATTTCTATCTATGCCAATACACAGAACGCATTCTATAGTTAAACCGGGTCCAAGGGATATTTTTATTATTTTAAAATAGAACATTCTATCTAGATTGGCCCCAACCTGATTAAGGCCAAGATATATTTTGAAAGCATTTGCATTAACATTTTGTGTATATGTATTTTTAAATGCTTTTGGTTACGTATTGTTATGGTAAGACTTTTGCTGTTGTACAATATTTAATCTCACATGGAATTGACAGAAACTTGACTCACCTTTACCAACCTCTCCACGAGTCACATTGTTTACATTTAAATCAAAACCGGATGCACACATATCCAAATAAAAATCAAATTAATCCGGATTGTCAAGTTGATTCATCATGATGCGCCGTTTTGATATATTTTTTGATATTTAAAAAATTCTTAAAAAATTAACAATAAATTTCAATTCTTGATATCAAAGAATATATTATAATAAAAACTATTAGTATAATTTTTGATGATACCAGAAAATCATTTTCTGATGCCAAAAAACGATATTCTGATATCAGAAAATGATTATAATATATATATATATATATATATATATATATATATATATATATATATATATATATATATATATATATATATATATATATATATTAAGGATGTCAATTTTGTCAATAATTCATATTCGAATACTCAATGAAAGTATTCGAATATATTCGAATATTCGATAAAATAAATAAAATCGGTTTTATTTTAAATATGCATCATGAAAGGTTAAGCGTAGGTATACTTATACTGGAAGTAAAATTGTATGAAGACTTTTGTAGGTGTACAATAAGAAATTTCATTTTATATTTGTCAATTTTTGAAATAAATAATTGATTTAAATGTAGAAAAGTATAATTTTAACAAATAAAACATGTGTATTTATAGTAGCTCCATCTGAGGAACCAGTCGTCTTACTAAAGGTAACGGTATACTGTTCAAATTTCAATACGTGTAATGAATTACAATTATCTGCCTAATAAGAGATATGATTATAATCTTTGATACAATGTAAACAAATATTTCCATAGACAATTTTCCTAGGTATTTAACTAACTTCCCGATAATGAATATAAAATTCAGGATTATGTACAACCCAAGATAATCAAGTAATTTACACATTTATTCTGAAATTAAGCCCTTTACAATATTAATCATAGACTAATTCTATCGGACATCCATTCAATGATCAATTAATTTATACTCTTCACGCCTTTTAGACATTCTAAGATTTCATTTTGTTGTCCTCGATTCTACATCCGATCATATCTAACTTAAAAAAAACTATGAAAGTTCATAAAGCATTATTGTACAATTCTTTAACACCTTACTCAAAACAAAATACATGTAATTTAGTAAATCTATAAGATAAGAAAGTAGTGAAAGAAATCAGACGATCGAGATTGATCGCTAGTAAATTAAACAGGGATAATCTCAGTATTGTTCTAATAAAAATTTATCAATCATAGTACTTCTTTTTATGAAATCTGAAAAATACCGAATATTCGAATCTTAATTTCATATTCAAATATCAACTCATCGAATGAATATTCGAATATTCGTTGCCATCCCTAATATATATATATATATATATATATATATATATATATATATATATATATATATATATATATATATATATATATATATATATATATATATATATATATATATACATACGTAACGTGTTCTCTTCTGATACTGGATCCCTCAGTTACTAAACTGAGATCGAGACTCAAAATAATACTTCTAAAATATATCGCCTGCAAAATATACAAATAAGGCAAAACGAGTTCCTATCGTGTAAAATAAAAATGATTACCCTTCATTACTAAACTAACTAATCACTAATAAAATCACTATCAAAAATATTAACTAAGATCTACAAACCTATATACAAAATTATATAACTTAAAATGTTACTCAACAGATGAGTAAAACCTTCCAAGGCGTAATGAAAGAGTGCTCAACAAATGAGTACTCAGCTACTCAGCACTTTTATTTGTACACACTAAAAGACACTATATCCACTGAGGACTAGTCGAGCTGTCCCCGCGAGAGTAAGGATACTTGATCCACGTTCTCTTATGGGAAACTGTCGGCTTACCTATAAACCTCTGTAGCATAACCTTCTGCTTCTGAAGCCAAACCAACACTGAACGTGCTGACGCTAGCGGTATGACGTTTATATACCCTCAGAGCGGAAATCAACGAACTTCCCAACTAAGGGTGCCAAATTCAAATTTAGTAACACCATTTACATTACACATACATACATACATACATACATACATACGAGGGTTGTTAAAAAAGTTCGCGGACACATTGATTTACGGAAAATCTATTGTGTACTGTGAAGTATGACTTATGTCTGATTAAATTCCTATCTTTTGTTTAATAGTATGTAAAAAATCAGGTCCATTTACTAAAATGTTGAAAATTTACAACAATTTTTACTATGCGGTCATAGGAATCACGGAGCAATCACTTGACGTTACGTGACGTGACAAACAGATTTCAAACCCATTAAGCTTTTTCATAGTTCTAAATATCTTTCATTTCTTTCGACTTTTCTCGTCTTTTTTCTACTTAAAAATTAAATATCTATATCAAGACATGTTACTTTTCATCTATAAAGTCTTTTGTGCTGTTTCGGATATTAGTGAGATCTTAAGGACATACGCAACGTAGACTAGTTTGAAATTTATTGTCTTTTTCCCTGGAGTTGAAGAGTTCCAATACTTAAAGGAACTGTGTGTTACTTTTTATGTCTATATATGCTGTTGTACACTTCTTCTAAAACAAGTTTGGATAAACAAAACATTTAGAATATTTGTTTAGTATTTTTTGTGTATTTTTCTTTGAATTATACGAGAATTTTCATCAATTGATATCTTTTCAAAACCCCTGGTAATGCATGCTGATTTTTTGTCTATGAACATCTGATGGCACTATAATCTTAAATTAAGAAAATCTTCAAAAGTTATCAGTAGGTAAGGTACGTTGCGTATGTCCTTAAAATAAATGTCCACGCAGTTAAGAGATCAGATATGGAAACAATGCAAAATCCATAGGCGGCAACGTCCATGCGATAAGTGGGGTATTGAGGTATCGATGGAGTTGATCATTAAAAATGTTAATCCTTCCATTTGAATACTTTTGTCCTTTGTACATGTAGGCAATTTTCAGCAACATCTAGAAGCATTTTAGTCTATTTTTAGACATTTTCCTGTCTGCAAACATAATTTTTTAGTAGCTCGGTGCTCCATGACGTTCAATGACGTTCCCATTCTTGGCTTTGTTTTTACGCGTTGATTATTTGTAAATGGCTATAAAACAGTCATACAACCTCCAATTTAATTCAAAATTTCGGCAAGTGACGTTTTATTAATACTGTAGCGACAGGTAAAATAACATAATTCTTTCTGCGCTACAACTGTGCAATTTTTAATTTCAATAAAAAGTCTATGTAATGTATACGTGCGAAAAAGTAGCATGCTCCGTGGAGCATGTTTTATCAAAATAATATAGCTGTATATTTTTTTAAGGATCACCGGAAAACAACAAATCTTTGTATATTTATTGGAAAATATGTAAAGTTTATATCTGGAGAGTTTAACCGGTTTCATGGAAATAGCGCGCTCACAATAGAACTTGTCCGCGAACTTTTCTAACAACCCTCGTACATACATACATACAATGCATATCAATAAATCAGATTTTTGACGTAAGAAATTTACATAGATACTCTGACATAGGAAAACCTTTTTTATGGAAACTTGAAGTGTGTGTTTGTCCTTTTTATAACACTAGATGAAATCCCGCGCAAGCGCGGGTAATTGAATTTATACCACTACCGACAGAAAATATATTGTAGTTTCTACTGACAGCCTACAGGCTTATAGCAGGAAGAAATACTTTGTTCAAAATCCCGCATGTGCGTCTCCAACCACCCCCTTTTATAAAAACTTGAAAAAATAACAATTTCATTAATTGATGTTTATTGTGAAACCTTTAATACTATGTTATGGATATTGTACTTCAGATGCTCTTATTTCATTTCCGTCAAGGATAAAAGCAGCGAGTATGCACATTTTACTGATAGTTTTTTTCTTGTGGGGGGGGGGGGGGTAAAAATTCACAGGTACTCGGGTCTTGGTGTATAAATATTATGTACCTTTTTGATAAGTAAAAAATGTACTTTACCTTTTTTACATATCAATAAGGTACATACATATATATAAACCAAGACGCAAGTACCTGTGTAAAAATTAGCTTTTAACGCCCTATGAATAGGCCGAGTATTTGATACAAAAGACTGTATACAGAAAAAAAAACTGAAATGTATCGATTAATTGTATTTTATCAATATCTTATTCATAAATTTCTCTTTTCATGTAAGCAATTTTATTACGAAGTAGAAATTGTACTTCGGGTTCGTTGCCACGATGCTCTCACAGTGAGGAATATATTACACATTTTACCAATAAATTTATTAGGAAAACCTACTACATATATGCAATAGTCTTTCATTATATAAATATATTCACAACTTATAGTGTTATCAATGATTTACCATTATTTCAATGACCATTCACACTATGACATCAGCTTTTTTATGTTCCTGCAGCTATAACCGTCTCGTTTTTCTTTTTAACATCGGGCTCGATGCTATTTGATGTTCTAGTAGCTTCCGTCAATATTAAGATCGGTGAATGATAAAAATAATTTGCACATTTCCCTTTTTAATCGGTTATCACAACTTATTTCTTTTATGTCATTTAAATCAAGTTTTGATTGAATAATTCAGTGATGACGTTTTATGAAATAAGTAAACGATTGATTGTTGTCAGTTTCATTGAAAATTGCCAGAAACTTAGATCCGCCAACCGGAAACGCCACCGTACTCATGTTTTTGCTATTTCATGGCTTTTTATAGAAAATAATAGTAGACTTTTAATTTAATGTACGATACTTACAATGCCAGTGAATCTAAATATTGTTTACGGACATCATATTGTATCTAGTGTATTCTTAGAGGAGTAAGTAAAAACTCTGGTGCATCGGTTTCGGAGTTTATTTGCAAAATTTATTAATTTATAAGTATAAGATTTCTCTTTGTGGCCATATCCTGATCATACGGACTGTGATTTAGGTAATATATATATCTCTCTCTCTCTTTCTTACTGAGATCTTATGACCTTTCTATACTAACTGCATTTAGTTCATAACCGTCTTAGTCTTATCGTTGCTTTATCAAATCACAATAACCTATATACATGTACTTGTCTTCCGTCATGTTGGCACTATTCTGTTCCTCTCTCTTTTTCTCCTTTCTTTACATAAGTATGTAGAAGTTAAGTTTGTAGAAGTATGTGTTTTAATTATTTTCTTATAAATATAAAAATATATAATATATAGATCTACATGTAATAAACAATTCTCTTACCTTTTGTTTACAGATGCTGAAAGGCCTACATCATGTAGAGATGGGTGGATTCACGGTGGCGGTTCCTGTTACCTGATTCGGTCAATGACACAGCCATGGGCAGGTGCCCAGGTAAGTCAGTTTTATATTAGGGTGGACTTTTAAGATATTTCTTTTTAGAGGGGGTTGAGTCACACATCTTGACGTACATCTGTCAGATTAGAGGCAGAGGTTATATAACTATTGCCTTTGTTGATAAAAGAACCTGAAATGTAATCGCTATGATGGCCCCAATAAAAGCTCGTTGAAATAATTATTAACAAATCTTACTCAGCAGCATAACTTGAAACGTTGTCACTGCTTGAAGAAAAAGAGCATCATTTAGATACAATTTTGCATTTGTTCAATTATCCCCCTAAAAAAAACTCTTTTTGCAAAAATATGTATGCTTGAAAGAAAATATCGGCCTTGGGGGGGGGGGGGGGAATCCCACTGTTGAGAAATATGGAAATAAGATCTATTTCGTTGCAAGATATAAGTGGGAATCCCCTCTGTAAAACTACTAGTATCTAAACATGCAGAAACATACGCTCTCAAAGGCGGATCCAGCGCCGGCGCGCCGGGCGTGCCCCCCCCCCCCCCGTTTGAATTTTTTTTTGTTGAAATTTTGTTTGTATTATCCTAAAATCAAGTGAAAAAAACACCTCTTATTTATTTGTTAGAATTTGTCAGTTTCCGGGGCCTTCGCCCCGGACCCCCACCAAGACTTTGCTCTGGACCCGCTGAGGGCTTCAATGCGGCCCCAGACCCCCTGCCTTCTACTGCGCCCCCCCCCCCGTTATGAAATTCCTGGATCCGCCGCTGGCTCTCTTGCCGCTTTTCATAACAATTTATTTATTGATGGTTGGCAGTGTAAACTACCGAATGAATTACTAATTTCAAATATGACTTCGCACAGTTGGACAAAATGCAATTTTGATGCAAATTAAATGAATACGTATAATTTTTGTTTTCAATTATACTGCAACAGTTTAAGGGGATATAGTTATATATTTGCAACACATTCTTTTCAAAATTGATTAAAATGGCCTAGACCTTCTTTTAAAAAAAAGGGAAAAATACAAAATCAAGTTTACAATTTTCAATAACATACATTAATTTTTCATCAGAAAAAGTTTACTCGAAGTTTTGAATCAGTTACGTTGTGCTATCCTATATTTGGCCAACATATATTAAATTCTGTCATCTTTCTTTTTTCAGTCAGTTTGTGATTTCTTGGGAGCCAAACTTTTGATCATCGAATCATCAACAGAAAACGAATTTATAAAAAATGAACTCTCAACGCTGACCATTAATCGTGAGTATCTACATGTATGTAAGTTTGGTTGACAATGTGAAGCATTCAATGGGAATACGTGTTACTGCGTCTATGAAGAGTATAACTGTGGAATTTGGGGAAGAGCAGAGAATATGATAAAATAATTCATTATGCTATACTCCATACTTTAAACAAATTTATTTACTTATTTATTTTTTAATTTGATTTTTGTTCACTTCATCGTTTTAGATTCTGGTTCAAACAAAGACCTCCCAGCAAAATACTGGACGGCTGGAACGGACTTTCAGACCCCTGGGACGTGGCTCTGGGGTAAGGACCACACCATGGGATTCTCTAACTGGGCAGGGGGACAGCCCATGACTCACCACTGTTTGGCGCTTGATCCCCAAAACCAGTATGCATGGGTAGCAACCGACTGCGAACGAAGTGCCAAATTTATTTGCGAAATCCAGTAAGTACGATGGCGTTATGACTCAGTTAAGTAAGTAAAGATTTCATTGGCTCACCATGTGTCTCTTTTCTTAAGTAAATGTAGATATCATTGCATAGTCAAGCATCTCCAAAAAAAATACCGACCTTGAAATATTTACTATATGAGAAACCAATAACATAAGAAATGAAAATTAATTACAAATTCATGTATCGTATATTCATCTCTATAACATGCAAAGTCCAATACAGTACGTATTCACACTGTGTTACAAAAATGTTAAAATCTCAAAAATCCACGTCTACTTTGAAAGAAATTAGTTATGACAAAACAAAAATAGAAAAAGTGCATGAATATTGCTTTTTTTTTCAGGCTAGCTTCCAGCCAAGATTCGACGTTTGGATGACATAAAGTTCAACACACACAAAAATGATGTACAGATTAGAATTGATAGTTAAATATATAAATGTACTTTCTATTCCTTTTTTAATTTATATCCATATCTTTGAATGATTCTGATAAGAAATGTGCTTAGAAATAGTGCATACCAGCTTACTTTAACCTTAAACAGGTCGAGACCACTAGATTTTCTGACGTCAGCATAAATTTGCATGTAAATTAGCTATCTATTTACTTTACCGACTGTTGAATGAGTCGCAATGCATTATGGGCTACTACAAGAATCAATACGAACTCAGTTGTGTTGAAAATAAAGGGCAACTTGAATTGTTCTTTGGAAACTCATCTTTAATTCTTTTTTGATATTTATGAAAGAAATATTGAAAATGATATATAATCTTTCATTTCTATGCTCAAATTTACAAAATTTGCTTTATGAAGTCATATCAACTTGTAATACATCGGCGTAAACTATGGAACGCCATAGCTGCCTGAAGGTCATTTTCATTTTATATGAGGTGGTATAACCTTTATGTGAAGTGGTTAAGTCATTATATATAGTGGTAAAATCATTATATTCAATGAAAACTTTATTATATGCAGTGGTTTTATCTTTATATACAGTGATAAAATCATTATATTCATTGATAACTTTATTATATGCAGTGGTTTTATCATTATATTCAGTGGCAATGTCATTATGTGTAGTGGTTAAATAATGTAATGAAGTGATAGTACCGTTACATTATGCTGTAAAATCATTATATGCAGTGGTTTTTCCATTATATACATTACTGATATCTTTCTGTGATGTGATGAATTCAATATATACAGTACAAACATAATTTGTGTGATAAAGCAATCATTACATTGTATGAAACCCGCTGCATGTGGAGTGCCAAGTTAATTTCATTCAGTGCGACACCTTTACATGAAGTGAAAAATCTATTATGTGCAGTACTAAGATCATTATATTATATAGTAAAATTATTATATATATTCCTAAAATCATACTTTGCAGTGGTAACATCTTTATATGAGGTGGTTAATTAATTATATGATGTTGTTAATTTGTTATATGATGTGGTCAATTCTTTTTATGCATTAGTCGTTTCATGTTATGCAGTGGTAACTTCTTTATCATCATCTAAACTGGTCCTTTTATTTAAAAAAAAATGCGCGGAGTTCCAGTTTAAAGAGTGTTTGAAAATAGGAAACCCGGGCCGTGGCAAATTAAAAGCCGGGACTATTCGAGGTTTTTCAAATTTCTGATTTAAAATTTTTAGACTCTTTTTTTTAGGCTAATGTGTTTTCGCTGTAGAAATTGTATTTAAATACTTGGTATTTTAGATTTTCTTTACGATTTTTGGTTTCAAGTAAAATTGGTAGGCAGTTTCAATTTTCTGATTTAATATTTTATCCATTGTGCTATAAGTACTTAGTATTTTAGATTTTTTTTTGGCGATTGTTGATTTCCATGTTGGTAAAATGGGAAGACTGGGTTGGCGATATTTTATGTGTGTGTTGTTTTTTTTTTTTTTTTTGACATATTTGATAAAAATCTAATAAACTTAAAAATTATTCCGATGTTAAACACTGTATTTTAACTAAAAAAAACTTTTTCTTTTTGATAGTTATTTCTTTATTTGAAAATGCTATTTTTATGCAAAATACACATTTTCATTAAAAAAGGATTATTAAACCAGATCCGATCATCCGGGAAGAACCTGGTGCAAAACACCATAAATCATTTCTAATTTCATAATATGCAAATGTGCACTGGTACATGTATCTATATGCTAGTAGATGGAAAGAAACTGGATTACGTTAAATATGTAATTTGTTTAATACTTTTTTCGGGGGGGGGGATGTTAAATTACTAATATCAACTATTTATAAGACTGTTTCTAAGACTTCAGAAAACCTTAAATCACATTGAAATGCTTAAAATAAAAATTGCTGCATGAAAACATTTCATTTTCAAGTTTCATCTTTGCCGTCGCCAACGTGGCACGGTGATTAGAGTGTCTGCTCTAAGAGACGCGGAATAAGGAGTCAATCCTTACGTCACGGGTTCGAATCCGACAGTGGAACGTTGAGACCGGTCCTTCGTAAGAGACCGCATAAAGCCATAAACCGAGATCCCGTTCCACAGTAGGTGTTGGCACGAAAAAAATCCCTCACTGCTCAATGGCCGTAAGTGTCGAGTATAGGACAAAATTTGCAGCTCTCCACTGGCAAATTGTGGCGTCTCCATATGAGTGAAAAGTTATCGAGAGGGACGTTAAACAGCAAACAAACAACCAAATTAAAATCATTTTAGCCTTTTTGAATAAAATGATAAAATTAAGAGTTATCCTTCAAGGCTGAGGATCGGATATCCTTAAACCAAGCAACTTACGCGTGATTAAAGTTTGACACAAGGCTTTGCATTAATAGTCCTATAATTACATGTATATGTATAATTCTTTAATTAATTTATATTTTATCAAATGGCATGTAGATAATGAATAAGTATTTCGGATTTTTTATGTTTGACTTCCGGGAGATCAAATCCGATTTTAATGAACCATTGGCGTCGGAAGGAAATTGATAGTGGGGTGGCTAATTGAAATAGAAAAAAAAATCAAACCTGAAAAAAAAACTTGACAAGCAAAAAAAAAAAAAAAAAAAGGAAAATTGTTCTTTCTCCAAACCCGAAAATCCTATTTCGGGGGTGTGGGTGGGTGGGGGGGGGGGGGTGGGGGTTGGTTGGTTGGTCGAACATCTTTCAGTACCAAATTCTTTTAAACACTACCAATTACCCTTCTTTCACTACAATGAATCGTGCCTGTAGAAAGTGGGGAGGGGGGAGGCTAGACCTACGCCCGAATTTTCAATGCCTATATTATGTCTACCTTTGCAAAAAAAGGGGGGGGGGGCAATAGCCCCCCCCCCGGTTCCGACGCCTATGTGAACCGGTTTTTCTTAAACGTGTCATTTCACTCAAAAAATGCCTTTCAAAGAATGAATAATTTTTAACATCAGAATAATTTAAAAGTTTATTAGCTTTCTGTCAAATATGGCCAAAAAAAAAAAAAACAAAACAAAACAAAACAAACAAAAAAACCAAAAAAAAAAAAAAAAATCAAACAAACAAAAAACAACAAACAAACAAACAAAACACGTAAAATGTTTACATGATTGCCTACCCGATTTACCAACCTCACGGGCGGATTCAGAGAGGGCCTATGGGGCCCGCCCCCCTCCCCCCCTTGTGTCCAAAATATACATAAGATTTAATAAATCAATTGTTTTTTGGTTTGGCTGTGGGCTACCTACCCCGACCAAAAACTTGTCGGGCCCCCCTTTTCAAGATTCCTGGATCCACCACTGACCTTGGAAATCAACAATCGCCAAGAAAATCTAAATTACTAAGTATTTTAAAATTAAATGCAATTTTTACAGCGAATACACATTAACCTATAAAAATGAGTCTTAAAATTTCAGCACAGTTGGTAAAATCAGGAAGCTGTTTAATAGAATCAGAAATTAGAAAAATCTCGAATAGTCCCGGCTTTTAATTTGCCACGGCCCGGGTTTCCTATTTTCAAACACTCTTTAAACTGGAACTCCGCACATTTTTTTTTTAAATAAAAGGACCAGTTTAGATGATGATAAAGAAGTTACCACTGCATAACATGAAACGTCTAATGCATATAAAGATTTGAGCACATCATATAACAAATTAACAACATCATATAATTAATTAACCACCTCATATAAAGATGTTACCACTGCAAAGTATGATTTTAGGAATATATATAATAATTTTACTATATAATATAATGATCTTAGTACTGCACATAATAGATTTTTCACTTCATGTAAAGGTGTCGCACTGAATGAAATTAACTTGGCACTCCACATGCAGCGGGTTTCATACAATATAATGATTGCTTTATCACACAAATTATGTTTGTACTGTATATATTGAATTCATCACATCACAGAAAGATATCAGTAATGTATATAATGGAAAAACCACTGCATATAATGATTTTACAGCATAATGTAACGGTACTATCACTTCATTACATTATTTAACCACTACATATAATGACATTGCCACTGAATATAATGATAAAACCACTGCATATAATAAAGTTATCAATGAATATAATGATTTTATCACTGTATATAATGATTTTATCACTGTATATAAAGATAAAACCACTGCATATAATAAAGTTTTCATTGAATATAATGATTTTACCACTATATGTAATGACTTAACCACTTCACATAAAGGTTATACCACCTCATATAAAATGAAAATGACCTTCAGGCAGCTATGGCGTTCCATACTTTGCGACTCATTCAATTGATTGGAGAATGGGTTTGACGAAAACGTCGTCACGTGTTGAAAAGTGCCTTCCTTAAAAGGTAGTGTACCCGACCTGTTAAACGTTGCTGAAAATCCCAGTGACAGGCGAATATTGATATTGGTTGTTTGTTGTGTAGGGAACTTAGATAAAAATAGCCGCAGGAACTTCGACAGCGGTTTGACTTTGAAGAAAAAGATAAATCTATGAAAGATAGGCGTGGCTAGGGAGTGTAACCTCCAGACAGAGAGTACGAGTAGGGAGTCTTTAACTGGTCAACTAGTATCGTTCACGGTTCGAAATTTTTTTTCAAAGTGCGTAATATTTCAAAGTGCGTTGTAACAATGCCATTAAAATTCATTGGATGAAGATGGCATATTGTTGGGTTTAAAATGTCTTTAAAGTATAAGTCAAACTGAGTGATAGCAGCGAAATCATTGTATGATAGCTTAAAAAATAGCCTTGGAACCCCCCTCCAACGTAACTTGGATCACCCTGTAAAACAACAGTGTAGGAAGGAAAGTGACTGTTCGCTGAAAAGTGCCATCCCCCACCACCAAGAAAAAGGTTTTTAATGTTTGGTTTCCTTTTGGTTCACCTCTTTTTTTTTCGCTTATCAAAAAATTTCTAAGAAGATTTTTTTAGTTGATATGGATTACATATCATATGTAATATGACCCCCCCCCCCCCCGATTAAAAAAATCCTTTATCATGCCCATGATGTTAACCAAAATAAGATGCATAAAGTAGAGTGCGCAGGGGTGACTGAGCTGAAACTCATAAAACTTAGTGATAATAATGGGAACGTAAATTGTTCCATATACAATATCACGAAATGTATGATTAGATTAGAATATGAAACCAGTTTTCGTATGCAATTATCCCAAACTTGTAATTTGAATTTTAAAAAAACGGGCACGTATTATCAGGGGGGATGCCTCCTTTTTTAAAAAAAAAAAAAAATAACCTTTTAGTGTTGAAAATGTTCATTGAAAGGCTGGTTCCACCTCCACTTTTTATTGCAGTATAGTCAAATTGGGGTAAGGTGATTATGTTTGAATAAAGTTTGGTTGTGAAAGAAGTTGGAACCCCCCAAGCATCCACCACCACCACCACGAAATAGGATTTTCGAGTTGTTTTTTTTTTTTGTGTGTGTGTGTTTTGTTTTTTTTTTTTTGCTTGTATTTTTTTCTGGCTGCCCATTTCAAAAACTATACTAAATGCTTGAGTATAATTTTAAAAAGATACATCTCTCTCTCTCTCTCTCTCTCTCTCGGTTGACGACTGTCCTAAATCTAGACCAAAGACCTGTATGGAATTTCCGCCTCTTAATCACCACGGGTTATCAAATCGTCCTATTATGTGGGCGTGTCAATAGTACGTCAATTGTCACTTCTCTGTTTCTGTCTCATTCCTACATGTAGGTGTACGTGTCTAAGGAACATATATGCTTTCTTGTTTAGATATCCGAAAAGGGAGAGAGGGTGCACTTGGCGAATCTTTCTTCTTAACCAAAACAATACTTCTGACATCGAATTATAAATACTTTAAAAAAAAAAAAATATGTCCATGAAATATTACGAATTTATTCTTAATTCTTGTTGCAATATATATATATATATATATATATATATATATATATATATATATATATATATATATATATATATATATATATATATATATATATATATATATATAGACACACATGTGTATAATTTTAGTTGTTACTGCGCAATGTTTTTGTTTTTGTTCTTTCCTTCAAACCATCTTTTTATTTGTTCATCCTCCCCTTGCGGTTTGAATATTCTGGACGAAAGGAGACATTGGTGCGAATAAGAAAAAGACACAGTATATTGAAGTTGGTAAAGAAATGAAAAGTTGAAAAGATTATACTTAGCACCCATTGTGCTTTTCTTTTCTGATTTCTTTCTTTTTTCCCAGACGATTTAAATGCTTTTGATTCCTAGCATCAGCAACGTACATGTAGTTGTAAGGAAACTCTAGGAGTAACACCAACTTTATCTGCGAAATCCATCCAGATAGACTACAATGGTCAAATAGCTGAAAGCAGTTCTAAAGTAATGACACTGTTGAATCTCATTGCGGTTAGCCTCGATCAACAATCCAACGACTGGGTTCTTTCATAGCCATACATTTTAAAGTAGTACATGAATAACTGAAGCAGATTTCTCAAAAAACTTACTAAAAGTGGGTGTGCATATATGAGGTTTTGTATTAACATTAATAAACTAGGCCCATCCCAAATTGCAAACTTTCTGATATACTTTAGCGTGATTTAGATTGAAAACATTAAAGTTTTGCCCCAATATGGATTTCTATTTTTGAATAACTATATACAACTATAGTAAAACTTTTGATCAAATAATTCAACGGTACTTTTGTTTAACAAAGGCGAAGGAGGATACACCATTTATGGAAAAGGTGCCTTCTTAAAACCCCAATAAATCTTGTGAAAAAAACGTGTGGGTCCCAGAAGGAGGGCGTTTTTCATACTAGAAGTCTTTTTTAGACCTGACTACAGATGTACTTTCAATTATAACAGGAGAAAAAGCACAACAAGAGTTACATTAACAGATTATTCCTCTTTTTTTATTCCTCATTTACTTTTTTCCCTCCTTTTTTAAATTTTCTTTTATTTAAAGTTTGAACTTTTTTTTAGATGACTAAATCGAAGAGATTACCACAATTTCAAGATGACTCTTGAATTATGAAGTAACTCGGAAATTGACCCTGATATGATGTCACAGTAACGTGAAGTGCTCTCGTTTCGAGAGTATTTATATATTTAAAATATTTTCTAATCCAGCAGTTGATCACATCATGACTCTGACGAAGATTGTGGTCCTCCTGGCTTTAACAGTGTTGTCCATTGTCAAAGGAGAAAAGACTACAGCAGAAATTGAGGTGAGATGAAGAAAAATAAACTCCAGAACTACAGGCTAAACAGTTAAAATTAATACGTGGAAGATTAAGTACTACTGTAGTATGTTGAGAGGTTTATGGGGTCAAATAAGGATAAAGGGATTGGAGAGGGGGAGGGTAGACGAAATTTTGTCCACTCCTCAAAACAAACAATACGGAGAGAATCATTGTGTTTGAAAGTGAAAAGGGCAAAATTATATATATGGCAACTTAACTATAAAATGAACAAATGGAAGGAAAAAATACAATTTCTCTATAATTTTTCTTTTATTTGTTGTAATTTCAGAAATATCTATGTAAGTATGGATACCTGACAGAGAACTGCAACAACCCAAACCAACTGGCGAGGGCCGAAAGTAGGGAATACGCAATAAAGTAAGAAACAATAGAATCCATCTTAATGGCTTAAGAAGGCATGTGTAGACTTTAGAAAAAATAAGCAGAGAAGTTTGAAATTACTTTCAATTAATTTCGTGTTTTTATTAGAATACTTTTTCAGTTTGTTTCAACGTTTTGTCATATTCACCATTTATACTTAATCACTCTATATGCTATATAGTAGTATTTTGTCGTATACTTGAGTTTCAGCGATCATTGATCCTGAGTCATCCCCTACTTCTCTCCTGATGACTAGTTACTTTTTTCTTTGGTTAATCACCACGTGCTTGCGTAACTTATTTCATTCGAAAGTCATCAGCATACTTTCGATGTGCTAACGATATGAAAGGGGGGGGGGGGGGGGTCGTAATGTTAAGGAAGACTGTAAAATAAAAACAAATACATGTAGGGTTTTATTACTCAGTTCTTTAGTGAAATCTTATATTTATTTTTTAAAAAGGACATAGTTCATAACTCTTTGTATTAGTTCTGGAAATTACAACATGTAAATGCAATACCTCAGATCTCAAGTTAGAGGGAAATTTAAGTTAATGGAAAGGCAACTTGGCGATTATCATGAAAATTATAGAAATAAGACTGGCAAAATTGAAATATGCAGCTTACGTAATTTCCACCTGTTAGTGTCAAAGTGTTTAATGATAGACGATGAAATGGGCGGGCGCAATTCGACACGGACGTCCGAGAAAACATAGGATTGACATTTTAGTTTGAAATTCATTTTCAATCCACCTGAGCTGTTTTCAAACCTAAAGTGTGAATGTATGATCCAAAAGCCAAATAATTTCAATTCCCAAATACATGTTGTTTGAAATTCATATCTATATGAGTTTTTTAGCCTTTAATTTTAAGGACATGTAAAAGTAATATATGACAGAGATTATTTTTTCAGGGGACGGCCATTTGATTCCAGAAGGGGGGGGGGCTGTCAAGATCATGTCTTCATATGACAACAGCTTTTTTTTTACTTTTGTCTTCACTGAAAAAAATGTTTGACAAACAAAAACAGGGAGTGGTTGTCCAAACTAAAAGAAAACTTTCTTATTTATTTCCAAGATCGTTCATCCCCTCCACCCGACCCCCCCCCTCCCCCAGCACACACATACACATATCAAACAGAAATCAAATATCTGTCCCTTTACAATTCTTTAAAACACAAGACAGAAAATTCTGATTTATATAAATTCCAAACTATTCCGAAATTTGATCTTAAGGGTCAATCAGTAATACCGTGCGTTCTAGCGTAGCTGAGGTGGATTGAAAATGAATCTTAAACTAGAATTTCAATCCAATGTTTTCTCGGACGTCCGTGTCGAATTGTACCCGCCAATTTCATTTTCTATCGTTAACTGTTTTGACTGTAACAGATGGTAACAAGAAAACATTGATGTAACCATCAATTGTCGCCCGGGAAATAAATAAAGTAAACAATGGAAATGAGTCTTTATCATCAAACCGCTTCGATATGTGTGAAAAAGGCATGCGTCTAAATGATGGAGACGATAGTCGAGAATCTTTTGAAAACTTATAGTCGGATGAAAATCGAACAAAAACGATACCCTTTTAAACTTTATTAATTCCTCAAGTAAATGTTGGCTGCATAAAATATAATTTGGGACACATGCATCACCTATTTTCAAAAATATCTTTCACTTTAAGAATATAAAACACGAACTGTGTAAAGTACATTTTTACGTTTTTATGCGATAAGTAAAATTCGATGTTCTAAAAAAAGGGACCTGTCGTTTTTTCGATAGTAAATGATAAGCAACTTTATATATTAAATATGAAAAACATATATATTTTTGCAGATTCACTTTATGGAAGTAAATATATTGTGTATCTCGTAATTTATAAAGGGAAAGAACATTCTGATTAACAATCTTTTTAATGTTTAGAAAACCTTTAATTCTGAATAACTTCTCCCACCTCAATCCCCATATACCAACACTTAAACTTATATGTATAGAGCAGCCCGGTCCTCCGGGCTGCAATGACGTAAGCTGCTTATTTCCAATTTTGCCAGTTAATGTTCCGCGGTTTTATAATAAAGCAATTTGAGGATGAGACAAATACACTGAGGTATGAATAGGATTTAAACAAGCATTCTGAGAGTATTGCATTAGCAATACTAGTCCCCTACCGGCAAGTGTAATCTGGTTCCCGTTAAGAATTGAAAATGCCATAATTCCGTCAAAAATCAATGAAGCGGGACGAAATGCAAACTTGATCTATAACTAATCAAGATAAAGTCACATACCAAAAATCAGCTCAATATCTGAAAGCGTTTAGAAGAAAATTGCGGAAAACCCTTAAAAATTGAAAAGGCCGTAATTCCGTCAAAAACAATAAAGCGGAACGAAATGCAAACTTGATCTGTAACTCATCAAGATACAACCACATACCAAAAATCAGCTCAATATCTGCAAGCATTGAGGGAAAAAGTGCGGAAAACCAAGTGGAACAGTCTGACAGACAGACAGAGGGACAGACAGACAGACGGACGGACAGACTCAGAGGAAACCTATAGTCCCCTCCGGTTTCACCGGTAGGGGACTAATAATCTTACAACTGCGGGGTCGTTCAGCAAGCTCCACCTATTCATCGAAACATCATCATGACTGTGTGGACATTCAAGGTCCATTGTCGCAGTAGATGCAGGCACAAAAAGATCCTCCATATTGCTCAGTGCCCATACGTCCCGAATACAGGTCTCTTGCAGCCTTCCTCCGTCAATTGGTGGTGTCTCAATATGAGCAAAATTTCTTGAGGAGACGTGAAACAAACAAATAAATTTTTTAAAAAATAAACAAAACTTTCTCCACCAGTTGTACTTTTGTTTACAATTTGATTACAATCGGCTGTTCTTTAAGTTTACTACGTGAATACATTGGTTTGTAACTGTTGTACGTTGTAGCGTAACAAACAGCTGATTTTAAATAAATGTCTCCTCACCATAAGTATATGAATCTTTGGGTCAAAGGAATAAAATAACAGAGCTGTGTTGCAACCACTATTGAAATAACGACCACTATTGAAATAATTATTTCAATAGTGGTTGAGAATGCATTTCAAAACCAAACACAGCTTGTAACCACTATTGAAATAATGTTCACTATTGAAATAATTATTTCAAAAGTGGTTGAGAGTGCATTTCAAAACCAGACACAGCTTGTAACCACTATTGAAATAACGGCCACTTTTGAAATAATTATTTCAATAGTGGTTGAGAGTGCATTTCAAAACAAAACATAGGTTGCAACCACTATTGAAATAACGTTCACTATTGAAATAATTATTTCAATAGTGATTGAGAGTGCATTTCAAAACAAAACATAGGTTGCAACCACTATTGAAATAACGTTCACTATTGAAATAATTATTTCATTAGTGGTTGAAAGTGCATTTCAGAAGCAAACACGGGTTGCAACCACTAATGAAATAATGTTCATTATTGAAATAAAGATTTCAATAGTGATTGAAATAATGATTTCAATAGTGATTGGAATCATTATTTCAATAGTTGCTGACAATGATTTCAATATAAAAACCAAATTGCAAGCCTCATTGAAATAACCCCAATATTAGAAAAAAAATATAAGGAGAAATTCTTCATTATGTTTTCCAACATAATAAAATTAATTAATTGAGTTTAAATATGATATGTAATTTTTTGTTTTAATTTCTGTCCAGAAATACTATTAATACACGGATATCTGTGATTTAACTGATCTAGTAATTTTAAGTAATTTTCTTATATAATTTTGATCTTTGTTATTAATTGGGGAAAGTAAAAGATTATAAATACGGATAGTTGTAGAAATTAGAATATCTACATAAGAAAGAAGACATCTGTTGATATCTAATATGTGTACAAACTTTCTGATGAAAAAAAAGATTAATTTTAATCAAAAGGATATAGAATAAAAGTAAATTTTCGCTTATATTCTTGGGCTTGCCCACTCTACTAATATGGATAGTAAATCAAACGTTTCTTGTCAATACATTAAAATCAACTATTTGGGAAAACTAAGTATAAGTGTTATAACATTAGAGGTCGTTATTTCAATAGTGGTTACACGTATAAAAACCGCTATTGAAATAATTATTTCAGTACTGACCGTTATTTCAATAGTGATGACAACTTGGTTTAGGCTTTGAAATGCTCTCTTAACAACTATTGAAATAATTGTTTCAATAGTGAACGTTATTTCAATAGTGGTTACAAGCTGTGTTTGGTTTTGAAATGCACTATCAACCACTATTGAAATAATTATTTCAATAGTGAACATTATTTCAATAGTGGTTACAAGCTGTGTTTGGTTTTGAATTGCATTCTCAACCACTATTGAAATAATTATTTCAATAGTGAACGTTATTTCAATAGTGGTTACAAGCTGTGTTTGGTTTTGAAATGCATTCTCAACCACTATTGAAATAATTATTTCAATAGTGGTCGTTATTTCAATAGTGGTTGCAACAGAGCTGTGTAATAGAGGAGGGAAAGAAAGAGAAAATAGTTAAGTTTTTTTCTCAAATATAATAATGATCTACTATCATTTTCAGGTGGTGGCAGATGTTCAGCAATCTGCCGGTGACGGGGGTTATCGGACCTGATGACGAGGAACTAATGAACAAGAGACGCTGCGCATGTGAAGACGTTATGGCAAAGGATGAAGTCATGAACCCTGAACTTCAACCCCAACAATTTAACCTTGGTAGCTGTCATATGTTATAAACGCGAGAAAATTTCGGAAATTTAATTATTAATTTGGACATTCGAGTAAACAGTTCTATTTTAATAATTAATGCAATTCTGCATTCGTCCTTAAATTTTATTTTAATTTGTAATGTCTAGTATGACATTAATACTGTGGTAAAAGTAAAACATGGAATTCTTATTTTTTTCATTTTTCCAATAATGGGCATACAAAATGTTCAAAAGCACATTATTTGTATTAAAAAAGTGTTAAAAGACATGCTGTTTTTATACTATACAGGTCCAAAATGGAGAAAAACAACCCTGACTTGGAGGGTAACGAAATTTTCTAATCAGCTGGATCCTGGGAAAACACGGTAGGTACAGAGGAAGATAGGCAAACATAACATGTAAAGCTGAATCAAGTTTAGACAAGCTAATTCAGGGACAGTGTGTCCCCCACTTAAGGAAAAAAAGAAGAGTATGGAAAACCCCAAAATGCAAATGGAAAGAAAAAATAGATCATGACCTTTCACATTTTGGCCTTAAAGCCAACTGGGGTTTTTCTTAAAGAAGTTCATAGCTTTCAGTTTCATTGCAAAAGCTTAAAAAAATAAAATATTCATCTGAAACATATGTATGCAATATATGAATTTCTAAGCTTGACCTTTGACCCAAAAAATCAATAGGGGTCTTCTTTAGGTTATATTGATTGGTGAGATTCATTGAGAAACCTCAAAGATAACTCAATTTATTATTATGAAAGCATTTAAAGCAATATGTGAATTTTTGACCTTGACCTTTTAACTTCAAAAGTAATAGGGGTCTTTTTCCAGTCAATGGTAGTTATGATATAAAAATTTTATTTGAAAAAGAGAACTCAAGATATTTTCTAGAAAATCAATAGGGGTACGGTCTTCTTTCAGTCAATAGGAGTTATAAGAGAGCAAGAGAACTAAAATTTATCATCTGGAACCATTTTGCAATATATGAATTAATGACCTTAACCTTTGAACTTTTGACCTTAATATCAATTGGGTCTTTTTAGTCCATAGGGAGTTGTGATATAAAATTGCATTGCAAAGGTCGAAAGGCTTTTTGAGATATAGTTCCGGAAACGTTAAGTTTTAAACATAGACAGCTAGGCGGACAGACCCAAAGTAAAATATTCCCCACTTTCAATGAAAGCGGGCAATTGATTTTGTGAACTAGGGATTTTTAAAAGTGTAGCAGGATAATTTTAACCTGCTCAAAGATGAGACCTTCTGACTTTCATTTTTTTTGTAAATACTAACAGAGGAAAAAATGACGGACACTGCATGCAAATTTGACCAAAATGTAAGTGGAATCCTTTGGCGAAGTTATTCTATAATAAGATTTTTTTTTATTTTTTTTTTCTTATTAAGCTCTGAGATCACAAGAGCGCTGAGGTATTGGTCTGACGTCACGCCTCTTCGATTTTACGAAACGTCTGGCGATACCGACATCACGATTTCTTTTGAGATTCGTAACCACGGAGATGGTGCCGCTAACGCCTTTGATGGCCCAAGTAAGCGAAACTTGATAACTTCTTTTTGTTGTCTTTAAGAACCCTCTGACATTCAATGCAGACTAGATAATTATGATTCTGTGGTATTTCCTTGCAGTCAGTTAATCTTCTTCTTCTTTTTAAAGTGCAGGGCCTTAGATCTAAAACAAAATAAATCTACACTGAATTACTCAATCAATTTGTGCATTGATAAATAGATACTAATCAATTTATGCATTCCTAACATTTTACAGACTAAGATGAAATAATTGAAACACTTTATTTGCATGTATTTCCACCCGCTGTAGTAAACAGCAGTGATTTCTGTTCATCAATCCTTCGTTGTCTTTGAATAATTTTCCTAGTGGTAAATGCAAAGTACCCTATGTTGAAAATGAAATAGATAAGCTCAATATAAACACTTTTTTCAGGGACCTATATACTAACGTTATATAGGTCTCTGCTTTTTTTTAAATATAACTTTCTCAATATGTTCAATAAATATTTTGCTTTAGTGTTGGAGGGTCATAAAGCAATGATTTATAAATTTTCACGAGTAAGAAAAGCATAGTTTACTTTTGCTATGAAGATACATAGAATGCTTGGAAGCTCATTTCATGTTATAGTAATGCCCATTGGTTTCAATGCGATCATGAATAAATAACATTCAGTGTATTTCAAAGATAAAAAAGAGTGCAATTCTTTTTCAAAATTTTCTTGATTAATCATCTTTTAAATATCATATTGTCCTTCAAAATGATCCCTTTACTTCAATAATCTTTTTTCTAAATTTGAGATCTTAGAGATTTGATTTCACTATACATCAATAAACCAATAGGGCTTCCAGGAAACTTGGAAAAATGTTCAATTACTTTCAATTAGTCAGAATTTCTTAATTTTTTTTTTTTGGACCTGTTCAGCAAATATAACTCATCTGTTGCTCGCCGATATGAAATATATAAATCTAGTGAGGCACTTTTTTCATCTACGTATTTTCAACTTAACATTCATTTGAAGGAAGTTTTAGAACTCCATCAATTGGTTATTATTGTCACGTGTAACTAAAATACAGAGAATGTTTCGGTTTTTCTATTGGCAGGCACCAGCATTCCATTTCTATATATATTTGAATCAAAATATGCATCATTTTAAACTGCATTTTAAAAAAAAGTAGAATCTAAACATGAACGTCTGCTCCATTGCAGAAAAGAAACATCAATCTTAATAAAATGAAACCAAAGATAGTTAACTTGTAGGTTGAACTTATTTTCATCAAGGTAGAGTACTTGCACATGCATTTTTCCCGTCAAATGGTCGAGTCCACTTTGATGAAGAGGAATCCTGGGGCTTCGGCGATGAAGTAGGAAACTCAAAGACTGACTTTTTCACGGTAGCAGTTCACGAATTTGGCCATACCTTGGGATTGTTCCATTCCGATATTCAGGGTGCTCTCATGTTTCCGTACTATGCGGGGTACAATGCTAGCTTCCGGCTGCACGAGGACGATATCGATGGCATCCAGAGCTTGTATGGTAGGATTTAGAAAATTCAATGAAAAAAAAGCAAATCTGTATTTTAAAAACGGTCCTCTAAGATTTGTTTTTGTTGCTGTACGCTCATTTTTAACAAGGTAAAAAAAAATATAAAATACATATAATTAGAAAATTATCTAATAATAACAAGTAAATATTTTATCTCGTTATTATGAGACAGTTATACAAGATAATTAACTCATTTATTATATATATATATATATATATATATATATATATATATATATATATATATATATATATATATATATATATATATATATATATATATATATATGTATTGATTTTTCCCTATATAAACTTAAATCGTTAGATGTAAATAATTCCCTAGAAATCGCTATGAATGGATTAATCCCCGTTTTGCGCCGCGCGTAAGTCAAATGAGCTTAGCTAGTTCCCGTTATCTGCAATCCTCTTGGTTTTACATTTGTTTACAGAAGAAGGCCCGAAATTTGTATCGGTGTAATAAAACAGTTAAAAAGTATATTATTGATGGAGTTAGCAAGATTCCAGTTCCTCTCGACCAGGAATATATCCTTTGGCTTCGCCTCGGGAAATACAATGTAGATCAGTCCTCGGGGATCGAACTACAATCTTGCAAACTCCCTCAATGATATACTTTAACTGTATAATAACCATCCCGTTCTTAAGAGTTAAATAGTTTTTACCTTGTCAAAATTGAGCCTAAGTATCTGGCTTTCGTAATTTTGTCTCTTTTTTTCTTCTTGGGGGAGTTGTTGTTTTGTTGTTGTTTTTTTTTGGGGGGGGGGTTCTACATTTTCACTTTTTTTCAATAGGAAAAATAGCTCTAGTTGTTTATTTATTTATCATAAATCATTGTAAAGAAAGTCTCAAGCTTATGAAAATAAAAAAAAAACTACATATTTAAGGTCCTAGCCCACGAACTCCGCCCACCACCCCCAGACGTCTGACGACATTCCGTCCAACCACACAAGCCCCTAGGCCCCGCATCACTTCAACTCCCCGACCCCGCATCACTCCGGCGCCAACTGTTAGACCTACCCGAACCCCTACCTTGCCGTCCATTTGTAACGTCAATCTGAGAGCCATGATCAGGGGTGAGTTCTAATATTTCGATGGTAATTTTCATTATAACAGTTGTTAAGTAGACATTATGTACATGGTAAAACTATAGGATTAAATAACAAAATAACTGTGTTTTTTTTTTGTTTGTTTGTTTTTAACAGATTTTGATGGCACACTGTTTGCGTTTGTGGACTCTCATAATGTAATGAGGATAACTGAAAGGGGTTTATTAGATCGCTTCCGGGTCAGTAATCTCTTCCGGCGAGCTCCCTGGAATACAGAGGCTGCATACAATATCCCCAGTCTTGGTCGAACATATTTTATGAGAGGTATGGGCAACTTTAAGAAAAATTGAAACTAAACATTATAATACAGGTTCAGAAAAAGAACTTTTAACTTCAGGCCCTTTTCTTTTTGGAATTAAAGATTTAATGGTAAATTTATACTTTATTTTGGTTTCAGGTCAAAGAATTTGGGAGTTTGACCGAATGAGGAATCGCATGGCTACTATATTGGTTCAGGGAGGACCAAGATCTATGCCAGAAAGACCACGGGCTGCGATATCCACGTCTGCTTCAGGAAATGATATAGAAGTGTTTGGAGTATGTACATTTACTAAAAGTTCATGACATGTGTCACTGTAGTGTAGTATTACTTGTACTACTTTTCCTCAAAAATGACATTTGATGGGGGGGGGGGGGGATAATTCTGGAAATTTAAATATCCCGAACAGGAACAAAATAAATGGCTAAAAAATCGGAAAAATGTAAAAGAAATGTGAAAAAAAAGATTGACCGTGACCTCTCACCTTTTAGCCTTAAAAAATAAATAGAGGTCTTTCTTTAGTTGGAGAGACTTATCACCTTAAAGTTTCATTTCAAAAGCTTAAAGAGAATTAAAGTAATCATCTGAAAACAACTGTATGTAATATATAAATTTCTGATCTTGGTATTTGACCTTTTGACCTCAAAATAGAGAGAAGTCTTTCTTAAGTCAAAGGTTTAGAAAATACTGGTTATCATCTGGAAAACATTTCATAGAGTGTAAAATTTCATTTATTGACCTTTGACTTCAAAATCATAGTCTTCTTTAAGTCAAGGAGCTATGGTAGAAATGTCATTGCAAAAGCTCAACGAGAACTGAAGTTATCACCTGAAAACCATTTTAAGCAATAGATGTATATGAATTTCTTACCTTGGTCTTTGGTCTTTCGACCTCAAGATCAATAGGGGTTTGCCTTCAGTCATAGGGATATATATTATATAAAATTTCATTGCAAAGATTAAAGGACTTTTTGAGGTATCTTCCAGAAACTAAAATGTCACACTCAGATTGACAGACACACAGAAAGACGAACAGACCCAAATCAATATCTTCCGCTGTTAGCAAAAGTGGGAGATAAAATTGTTCTGTTTTTTTTTTTTTTGGTCAATGTGTTGTAAACTGGATAGAATCAAAGTACTATATATAGTAAATAACTTTGCGTAAAAAGCAACTGGGTGAATAAAACACAACTGTGTTCAAATGGGGGACCGCCTCCCATGTAAGATTACATAATTAAGAATTATTTAGAAAGGGTGGCATTGTTTAAAACTTGCTTGCAACGTTTCTGACGTAAAGTAATACTTCCTAGGCCCAAGAATTAGGCTACTGTATATTTAGAATCCAAAAATTTTCATTGAAGGACTAAAGAATATACATAAGTATATATGCATACAATTTTCCATCTTCTTGCTGTGTCTACAGACATTTTTTTAAATGAAGATGCATGATCGAACTTGTCTGTATGATTCTCTGTGGACATTTTCTCTCTGTAATTTATCAGTTATATAAAAGGAACAAAACTTTTTCTCATAGAGTGGTATAATGTGGAGAATGAAGATGAATGGGGAAGTCGTACCTGGATCACACCGCTACATCCGGAATGTGTATAATGGGGTTCCGGAAGAAATAGACGCTGCCGTTCGGTGGGATTCTAACACAATATATTTTTTCAAAGACAATAGGTAAGACTGATTTCTCTTCGTAGAAGGTTACTGATAGCACAATAACGATTTCTTCTCTCAAATGATGAGAAGATACCAAGTAATTATGATTATATTCGTCACAAACTGCTTATCCTTCTTCATAGTGATAGGTTTTCATTATCAATTTCTTTTTAACCAAAAACAATACTTGATACCTAAAATTTGTTCACGAAATCTATGATTTCTCAAAAAGAAAGAAATCAGATCGGCTAGCTTACAAGTTTTTGAATCCTTTTACATTTCTGCTGCTTTTTCCTCTCAGCCCTAACAATACTATCCTCTCCCTAATAAAAAGTCTGACCACTTAAATTGCCGACGTGAAAATACGCAAATAAAATAGAAACACATTCTTAACTAAGAAACTACTTATATCTAAGTGTGAATCTTAGCACAAATCTGAAGCATTTTTATGAATCCCAGTCCTGGAACTTTCCCTTCTATCTCCGAAATACTTTTATCGAATATCGCGTTTATATTTATTGTATTTTCTAGATTCTACAAATACGACACACGCCGACGGCGCATGGTTTTGGAGGGAGATTTTGGCCCTGCCTTTCTTAAAGGTCAATGTGGAAACGCCCCGAGATAAATCCAGTTCACACAATTTGGTGGATCTTACACAGTGAAAAGGGATAACAATCAAATAAAATCTTGAATCAAAATGAACAATTTTGTTCTAAAACTATTGTTATATTGCTTACATTTTCTGTGTCTTAATTTATTAAATGTTGTTTTGATATGGTTGTTACATTATCATGCTTTTTTTATGATGAAGGCTATAGAAACCAAAACCTATCCATAATTTATACTCGATAAATTATTATAGGCCGCAAGAGTGACCGATCTATTGGTGGTTTTATTAGAAGGTGGGAAAATGAGACATTATTTCTTTATAAGTTACGCAAAATAATCCGTTAGTGATGACGCGCATAAAAGTTATGAACAAAATATTTTAAAACTTACATGTACTTTAAACCAAGTCTTTATTGTTGATATTATGTTTCAATTTTAGTTAAATTTTCATCAGATAATTATTAATTATGATTTTATATAAAGGTTTCACAAAAGGTACTCCCCACTCCACCAACATGGGAGTGTGCAAGATATTTATGCATTTTCCGGATAATAATTACAGGTGACAAAAGTGATAAATAAAAATTAAAAATTTGGTAGAACTAATAAAAAAATTATTTTAAAATGCTACTGCTGCGAATGACACAACGATATTTTTTTTTCTATACTGCATTTATTGTGTTGTCCATCATCGCATCGTGCAGCATAATGTGAAGAATTAATAGGCATCATCACGATCAAGGGTATCGGCAGCATGGAAAGTTAATCCTTTTTGTCATCTGTAGATGTGAATATCGTCATTTAGATAATACATTTTTCTTATAATCATTTTATAATTTATTTTCATATTAATGAATCAATATGACTAATAATCTACTTATCTTTGAATTTGTGCTTGTGTGTGTGTGTGGGGGGGGGGGGGGGCGCTTTGCTTTGAAGACAGTCTGAAATAAAATTGCTCGCTATTAAAATGACTATTTTTGTTTGCGGCCGATTTGATGCTTTGAATCAATCTTAATTGACGTGTATGATTGTGGCCAAAATATCAACAGCTGGGCGTAAAATGAAAAATTATAAGTATAGATTTGAAACACCACGTATCATCCAAGAGGCCCAACGAAGGGGACTAACTTCTCTTAAAGCAGGGTAAATATTTCAATACATGATCATAACAGAGCCCCACCCTAACCCCAGAGCTCCTGACAAAGGGGCCATGAATTTGAAAATTTTTAGAAAAAAGCTCTCTTGCTTATCATTACCGCTCATCATAACCATAAACTTAGTTTGTCTGCTTAATAAACCAGAAGCACAAATTTTCAATTAATGAATTTTCACTATATGCCAAATAGAGCCCCACCCTAAAAGCAGAACCCCTGACCCAGGGGCCATGAATTTCACAATTTTGGAAGAGATTCTCTTTCTTATACACTTAGTTTGTCTGCTTCATGAATATTTTTATCCGATTTGACAACACTAGAATAAATGCATTTTCACTCAATGACCATTAGAGCCCTGTCCTAACATCAGAAACCCTGTCAGGGGCTTGGTATTTCACAATTATGGAGGATTCAATTTTGCCCATCATATTTATGCATTGACTTTGTCTGCTAGATATACAGGAAGAGAGAAGATTTTTGAAGATTAATTTTGTGTATTTTCACTACATGACCAACAGATCCCCACTTTAAAACGAAAAATCTGACCCTGCGGACATGAATTTCACAATTTTGGTTGAGGGATCAATGCTTATTGCAATCATGCCGACAGTTTGACTGCCTGATGACCAGGAATGAAGAAGTACTTTGAAGATTGCAGTAATTTTGATTGGTTTGGCCCACTCCTCCAGCTCCAGCGCGGGGCAGGGACCATGGACTTCACAGTTTTTGTTCCCCTTCACCTACTGATGCCAAAATTAGTTGAAATTGGTTCAGCGGTTCCAGAGAAGAAACAGAAAATGTTCAAATGTTAACGGACTAAAACAGATAGAAACGACTCGGATGACCTTAAAATTAATAACCACAACAAGGTTCTCGGACACTGCTTTGATTGTAACTTCTTGTGTTATTATGGCTTCTATGCAGGATGTTTTCTTTTCTTTTAATTTTGATGATTTTAACAATCGTATTTTTTTCTACACTATCAACACATTCAATGGGAAAGTAGATTCAGCAAAAATGATAGGCAATTTAATTTTATCAATTTGAACTCTACAATATGACTAATTTGTAGGGTCAGAAAAGGATTTCCTAGAACTTTATTTTAACGACGACGGACCTAAATTCATTTCTGCAATAGATTTTTTATTCAAATTTTAATATGAGGTAATGTGACTTTTGGTGAGTTAAAATCAATAAAAAAAAATCATATGGTCATCGATGTAGATTTTTAATGGGGAGCGGTTTCAAAAGTTGGCGATGGAAATCGATAATTACTATAGGAAGTTATGGGGAATTGCCAGTGTAGGGTATAAGAGTAATCATTGAAAAAAATTCTGCAATAGAATTTTTATTCATATTAAAGGACAATGTTAACAAGACAATTTACCAGCAAATTATTCTAAAAAATAAATGGGTCATCGGCTTAGATTTTTCAGGGGGGCATGTCAAACTCAGGTGTAGGGCACATTTTTGGGAAATTTTCAATGAAAATACCTTGGCCAAATAAATCATTTATTTATGAATATAAATCGAAATATTTACAATATTTTTGAATTGAAAGGAAACGTTTAAATATCTTTAAAAGAATTAAAAATGTATATTTTTTATCTTTTGCAATACATAATAAAGTCAATTTGATTCAAGGCATATGCGCGGTTTTCTGCGCAGTGGAGTGAAATTTCGAATTAGGTCCGTCGTCCTTAAAGCACGGAAAAGGGAGACAAAAGCTTGAATTCAATATTTTTAAATTTATTCTGAAGTAATACACCGAGACTAAGATACCCCAAAGCGTACTTTACGATAGCAATTTGGCTTAAATATGTCAAAGATCATTGGGGAAAAAAATCCCAGATGTGTTAAATTATTATCCCCTATCTGATTAGAACGTTTATAGCGAGATTTCTAAGTTCTTTTTCTTCTCTAAACACACGCAATCCCAAAACACCTAATATTGCATCACAAGAATTTTGAATTATTCCATTCACTTTTACAAAAATCGTTTTTCTCCACTTCCGAGAAACTTCATACGAACGTTTTGGATAAGGTGCAAAATTCCCACGGTGTCTATTTTTTAACGTGTTCGCCACAGAAATATTTGTAAAACTGTGTAGCCATTCAGAAGCGTCTATCGTAAAGTTTAAATCACAAAATTTATACAGTTGTTTAACAACTTTCTGTGGTTTTAATACCAACCTCTCGTATAATAAAGTGTGAATGTCTGCATTTTTGGATGCGTCTACAAAATTTTTGTACATCATCGAACACAACGCTTTGGACTGTGCGTGTATAGAGTCCCGTGTAAGTGTCCCCGCTTTGGCTCGTGAGTGAAGGATGGCCCTAGGATCCCGGAGGAGGTGAACAATATACAAGTTATCCAGTAAAGTCTTCAACATATTGGCCAATTTAATATCTATCCGTAATGTCTTGATGATAATGACGGATGAAGATTTGCAGAGGCGTGTTAGATTCTCTATACAGTCGTTGTAATGGGCAGAAAAACCATGTTCTTTCAAATGTTTTGAAGAATAATTAAAACATTTCAGCTTTTTAACATATTCATGTCCAGTACTGACAAAGGTCTCAAAAGATTTCAGCACTTCGTAGGACAATGTAGCAAAATTGCAGGTATATATTGCTCGAAACACAGACAACGTATTGTTTATTTCTTCTTTATGGTATAGTGGTGATCTGTTAAATAAAACAATTTAATTTTAACCGTAATTGTTTCAAAATATGCATTTATATATAATACATTCAATGGGATCTGGCATCAGGCTAGGTCTATTTCAATTCCCCCTAAAATAAATCAGTTGATACTTGATGGGAGCCATAGATCCCTGGTGACAATGCTCATCTGCGTATCACATCGATTGATGTACGAACTGCGCCTGGCAAGGCCCATCATGCCCTACTCGGCGAAACACAAATTAATGTCTCTTCTATTCATCTACTGAGTTGTATAAAGGGACAATTAATGTGGACATTGTTTGAGAGCCAAATGAAACTATTCAGTTTCAGATAGTATGAGTGACCTGACCGCCGTTGCTAGTATTATAGGTACTTAACACTTTTTTCTGTAAATTTATATACTTTTTCTGTAAAATTTAATTCTATTAAATCCGACACTGACCTACAAGTATTATTGGGACAACATATGCCGTTGATGTGTCTTTGACAAGTCCTATATGTCTGCCAAAGAGGTTCCATGCTGAAAAACGATGTACTTCCTCCATGTTGAAGGATTTCTGATGTTAATGTCGAACCACTTCTCTGGTAAGCAACAATGAGGATGTTCCTTACTTTCTGTCTCTCTGAAATAAAACTTCATCATTTTATACTGTACTATATATAGCATATTATATTTTGTAAGGTACATACAAGGACGAAAGCTTTATAAAATGCTAAAGGTTCCTGTAATTTACTTTGTATATTCCAAATCAAAAAGTATAAGGAAAAAAAAATCATTAAAAATATTAAAATGTTGTGTACTCGGAACGTGAACTTGGCAAGAGAATAGCTTATTTTAGAACCCACGTCAGCCATTCGGTACATGTATTTCTATACGCTAATGGGTTATCTTCCGTTGGTCCTCCTGCAGTTAGTCCATAGACGTATCTCATGCGTCTATGGTTAGTCTTATCCTAAAATTGCGCAATCTGCAGTCAGATTTGCCTTTGAATTATTAAAATTCCGTCATTTCTGTGCATTGTATTTCATCGATGTTTGACAGTGAACACTGTTGATTTTTTAGGGGGGATGTGGGATGGCAAGCTCCCTCAATCTAAACATACACCTGAAAGTATTTTGTATCAGAAATATTTCCTCAGCAATGTCCTTTGTAACAAGCTATTCATACTTGACTGACTGACCTTGACTGAATGAATTGAAACAGAAAATTGATTTCTTTTTACAATCAGAGGAAAAAATAACCTTTTAGTTTTGATATTACTTGACTGCTGATAAGATTCTTTTTCACTCAGCCAGTGATGCCTGAATTTTTCTTTTGCCTGCTTAACAGACTCTTCCAGGTACGACTAGACAAATAAATGGCAATGTTTAATATTCCAAATGTTTGTTGTTAGATATGTCTATCATATTACCATTGTTTTATGTATATTATGGTATAGTATAGTATATTATCATTGTTTGTTGAGGTATGTCTATTTCAGTATATTACCATTTATCTTAATGTAAGATAAAGTATATTACCTTTGGGTTTTTTTATATGTAGAATATTACAATTGTTTGCTTGTAGATATATAGTAAATTTTCATTGTTTGTTGTTAGATAAAGTATATTACCATTGTTTGTTTTCAAATATACCATTGTTTGTTGTTAGATATAGTATATTACCATTGTTTGTTGTTAAATATAGTATAATACCATTGTTTGTTGTTAGATATAGTATATTATCATTGTTTTTAGATAAAGTATATTACCATTGTTTGTTGTTAAAGAGCTACATGGGGTAGAGCTCCGTGCAGTAGCATTCCCCGGTTTTTTGTACAATTCAATATTTCCGATGAATAATATATCTGAAATAGTTGTAGAAGATAAATTACATCATGATTTTGCCATATATAAATAAAACTATACGAGAAAAAAATTGTCCAAATATTTGTCATATATGTAACACATATAACTTAGTTTAAGAAAGCCACTGAAAATAAAGAATTTTGCAATCCCAAAAATTTTCAAGGTAAGGAACTGTAAATTCCTATATATGTGCTTAAAACTCTGCTCTAATTTAAAGTATATATAATACAAACTGTATAACAAAAGTACATGTTATAATTCATAAAACATGTTTTTGTTCGTAAGCATTTTATAATTTCAGTCTCTCAGTGCATCTTAATTTACTTATACTCTTAAGAATTGTCTGATTAAACATTTCTTTGTCTTAACAGTAAAATAAATTAATGAATAGTAAATATTTTATTTCGGAAATATGGTGTTTCATTTATTTTTGTAGATATCGAATTCTGTGGTTTTGGCAAAATGTACAGTTTCATTGATAGGTTTATTTGTGGAAAGCAACTTAGTCATATTTTATCATTGGTCTAAAATTTACAGTTCGTTGATTACTTAATATCGGTTTCAGCCTAAAAAAATTCAGCAAAAAGTGGTGAAACCACAACAACAGATATAATAGAGATTAAAAGTATAAATAATAATTAGATTAGAAATGGGCACTTATAACATTCCGTTGAAAGAAATAGAAAGAGTATTTCAGAGGAGACATTTCTTTATAAATAGAGCATGGACCTAAGGGGTCGGGATTGGTTTCAGTCTTTAAAAAAACCCTGTCGATTTCGTTACGGTCAATGACTTTAGGCTACATACCTGTAATAATTCGCTTTCATCTTATTACAGTATATGAAGATAAGAGAAACCTTTCTATAGATATTTATTATAAAAGCGATGAGATTTATAGTATCATACACGTATTATAATACTTTTGTATTATAATACTTTCTTGTACACACGCTAATACATATCTTATAAGATTGTAAAAAGACTTAATTTAGGTATTTCCACGTGTTTTCCTCGCTATATTTGTTTATGAAAACGCTTGATGATAATTAGAAACAGATTGGTTAAACAATATGTTCACCGAATTCGATTGAGAAAGATTATTAGGACCCATAAACTATCTTCCTGTTTCTTTATTCAGAGCCTATTGTTTACAGCTCTGCTTCTTGCTTCTTTTTTGTGGTAGTTTCAACTTGAGATATTCCACAAATCTTCTCCTTCCCATAAAACCAGATTTTCGATAAGTTTACTGCTTAAGTCGGCCATTATTATTTACCATGTGCTTTTTTAGTGATGATAAAAGTAGGATGACCCCCAATGTGAGTACATTTGATTGGTTGAAAGTAAAAGATACACATAGTTCCGCTTGACTGTGTTTTAGTTTCAGTGGAATTTATAATTTGCTTTCTCTTTAATGTTTTTATACCAAGAATGAAAATGCATGAAAGATAGATAATAGAAGGAAAATACACAAGACCCTTTAAAAAAAAAGTTAAAATAGTCTTTGAAAAGACAAAAATTTAAAACTATAAAAGTATGGCACCAGGTGGATTCGGACCATGAGTGACTCTAAAAAGTATCTTCGGTGTAAATATTAGGCTGTTTTACAGACCTAACTATTCTGGCTTTGAAAACCATTTGTATAAATGCGAACTAGGTTTTAAAAATCAGGTTTCCTTAATATTTTTGTAGCTTTTTTTGTGAATTTCCACCCGAGGACAGAGATGCCCCTAAAAAATTCCTATCTTAAATAACCTATCAAAATATCATGATTTTATCTAGGAGCAGGCCTGCCCTGAAGGACTTCTGGGCTAAAATTTATGCAAAAATCTGTGCATCTTTTTACTATAAAAATTGTTTATTAATATGTTTTTACTTACATACAAAAAACAGCAAGGTAAATAGCGTCAAAACCATCAGGTACTTAAAACACCCTTTCACTCCACTCATTTTGATCCCTTTAACTATACATGTCTATAATCGCTCCATCTTCTCAATAACCTTCACTGAACACCGCAGGCCTTTAATTTATCAACAGCCATCCGTATAATAGGTACAACGTAGTCGGACCTACATAAATCGCCTACATAAAATCGCCATTAAAAAAACTTCTTTTTGACTGTAGGTCCAGATGGTTCGACCATTACCCAACATGAAGCCTACAGTTTCTTTTGTATCATTTATTAGGTTGACTACCGATTCCTTAAAAATGATAATTTGAACAAGGTGAGAACATGTCTCTTTTTCGATCATAAAATTTGGAAAAGTAGGTTTATCAATAACTACTTAGTAGTCGGTCAGAGGGTCAGTTTTATGTAATCAGATAACCGAAATAGCCAAGGGAGTACCCGTCAATATGTATCGGCTGTTGTTATTTATATCTTTTCATTTCAAATATTTATTTTTACTTCTAAAATAATAAAGACAGTTATCTTGAAAATTCTGAATGGAATTCAGTCAATACTTCCTACACCCTTGTTCATAAATAAGTTAATCTAAAACAAAAAGCAACAACAAACAAATTAAAAACAAACAAACAAGCAACAACAACAACGAAACATTAAAACAAAAAAGTACAGGTTTTCAAAAGATTTTTTAAAAAGGTTTTTGAATTTATTTCTTCATGAGCGATGACATTGTGCAATTTTGTTTGAATTATGCTAACCTTTTACAAACATTAAAGGTCGCTCGCGTGACGCAGTGCTTAGAGCATTTGCTCTATAGTCGCGGAATAACGATTTGATCCTTACGTCACGGATTCGAATCCCACTGTGGAACGTGGAGACTGGTCCTTCGGATGAGACCGTATTAACCGAGGTTTAACAGTAGGTCTCCTTGCGTATAATTTACCCCAGTGCAATTCCATGTGGAGTTTAACGGAACAATAGATCGAAGGCCCAGCTTACATGTAAGTGATGATATATAACAATGATTATAGAGGAAAATTAAGATTGGACAAAATATTTTGCTTGTTTGCTTGTAATTTGCCCCCCCCCCCTTTCTTCTCCTCTGAAATCAGTGATGATTAGAATTGAACAAGAAATCAGTCAGACATTTATGCTATCTCTGTTTGATAAAATATTGAACAGGTTGTGACCAATCGCCCAAATGAGATAGAATAGCCCGTCTGGAGTATAATATCCGAAATGGAATAAAAATCTACAGTGCAAAAAATGATTTTTTTTTATTTTGGCTATATCATAATACTTAATATGGGATAACTTTTGGCAGACAAGTTTTTCTGTTACCGTACAGTTTGTTAGATTGATCCTCAAGAAGTTTGAGAACTTCCAAGGGATCAATCTCCTTAACAGTGGACTATACATGCTTTCCAATGCTAAATTACATTCACAGTTAATGTATTTTTTTTCATTCTTCAAGCAAGGTCTTTAATAAATAGTAACATGTACATGTATGTGCTAAAAAAACTTTAAAAGTAGAAATATTTTATTGTTAACGTCTGTATACATGCAGTGAAGGTCGTGATTATCTGTTTATTGCTCACAAGTATAGAACTTTATGATGGTCTATTATGAATTCAAATGGGAAAAGATACGATAAATTAATTATAATAACGTTAATCAAGTGCATTTCGGTCACTTTAGTTTCGTAACTTTCATTCACTACATACACATACAAATATAAAATATTTTCCCCAGTATTAATTACAAACTAAACTAAGAACTAAAGGTAGAATTTACCTGTATGAACAAACTACGATGATGCGCATTGAAGTGGTAAATGGAACGATGGGGGCTTAAACAAAAGATACTTCCATTTCTTCAGAAAGAAAACTAGAAATATGTCCATAGGACATGAATGCCCCGCCGAGGGTATATTAGTAATGCAACATTTTAACACAAATTGAGAAAAGTGAGGTCAAGGTCAAAGGAAAGGTCAAGGTGAAAAAATATTGATGCAGTTGAATAGCTTACATCAGTATGTATCAGCATATGAAGTTTGACACTAATTTAAGAAAAGTGAGGTCAAGGTCAAAGGAAAGGTCAAGGTCAAAAAATGTAAATGCAGTTGAAAAGGTTACATCAGTTTGTATTAGCATATGAAGTTTGATAAAAATATTATGAATGGTTTCTTTAAAACTGAGCTAAACACTAATTTAAGAAAAGTGAGGTCAAGGTCAAAGGAAAGGTCAAGGTCAAAAAATATTGATGCAGTTGAATAGCTCTCATCAGTATGTATCAGCATATACAGTTTGACACTGATTTAAGAAAAGTGAGGTCAAGGTCAAAGGAAAGGTCAAGGTCAAAAAATGTTGATGCAGTTGAATAGCTCTCATTAATATGTATCAGCATATGAAGTTTGATAACACTGTCTTGAATGGTATCTTTAAAACTAAGCTAAAACTTATTTAAGAAAAGTAAGGTCAAGGTCAAAGGAAAGGTCAAGGTAAAAAATATTGATGCAGTTGAATAGCTGTCATCAGTATGTATCAACATATGAAGTTTGTTAAAAATATTTTGAATAGTTTCATTAAAACTGAGCTAAACACTAATTCAAGAAAAGTGAGGTCAAGGTCAAAAAGGTCAAGGTCAAAAAATGTTGATGCAGTTGAATAGCTTACATCAGTATGCATTAACATATGAAGTTTGATAACACTGTCTTGAATGGTATCTTTAAAACTGAGCTAAACACTAATTTAAGAAAAGTGAGGTCAAGGTCAAAAGAAAGGTCAAGGTCAAAAAACTTTGATTCAGTTGAATAGCTTACATCAGTATGCATCAACATATGAAGTTTGATTACACTATCTTGAATGGTATCTTTAAAACTGAGCTAAAACTTATTTAAGAAAAGTGAGGTCAAGGTCAAAGGAAAGGTCAAGGTAAAAAATGTTGATTCAGTTGAATAGCTCTCATCAGTATGTACCAGCATATGAAGTTTGTTAAAAATATCTTGAATGGTATCTTTAAAACTGAGCTAAACACTAATTTAAGAAAAGTGAGGTCAAGGTCAAAAGAAAGGTCAAGGTAAAAAAATTTTGATGCAGTTGAAAAGCTTACATCAGTATGCATCAACATATGAAGTTTGATTACACTATCTTGAATGGTATCTTTAAAACTGAGCTAAACACTAATTTAAGAAAAGTGAGGAAAGGTCAAAGGAAAGGTCAAGGTCAAAAAATGTTGATGCAGTTGCATAGCTCTCATCAATATCTATCAGCATATGGAGTTTGATAAAAATATCTTGGATAGTTTCTTTGAAACTGAGCTTTGAACAGAGCTAAACGCAAAGTGTGACGGAAGGACAGACGGAAGGACAGAAGGACGGAAGACGGACATGACAAACACTAAATGCCCCAGCCATATTCATGGCGGGGCATAAAAAAATGTCACATGCTTCATTCGAATTTCGGAACAGGTATTTGATAAATACAATAGCCAATCAGATTGGTAGTTTACATAAACACCGAGTAAACGCGTGTCCGATCGATAAATGTATTGTAATAACAAATAAGCATGTTAAATTCATAATTATGTACATGCATGTTCGTTGCAATACGTGAGTTTTACAGAATCTGGGAGTCTTTAACCCTTCCCAACTTCATAAAATCCCTACTTCAGCAAAACTTGTGTTGCTAGTCGCAGAGAGTTGGGTGCGACGAATAATGCTTTCTCGTTTTGAAAGAAATGGCCTGTTAATGGGCATGTCTTTGTGTAACAATTGACGTTCGATGAGAAAAACTCAAACGTTCCACTCAATCAAAATTTTAAATCATTTTTTTTATCAGTAAGTCAAACTAATAAAAACTAATCGACCTTCTATCAAGTGAAAATACATGTAATTCAACTGTGGTAACAGTAAGGAGAATATACTTCACTGTCAACTGCGTAATGAAGCTACAATGATGCGCATTGAAGTGGTAAAATTGCTCGTTTGAATATACGTTCTGAGTTTTCTTTTGAACGTTGGTTATTACATATTAACACGCCCATTCATTGCATGGGCCAGTGTGCAGGGAAACGCCAGTTTGCACTGAGATATTGGTGGTGGTGGTGGTGTGTGTGTGGGGGGGGGGGTATTAAGGTCAATTAACCGGGGGGCACCAGGCCTTCAATGAACATTTTATACCACATTAAAAGTATAAAAATTTACGTTAAAAAAGGGTGTTGGGATGGAGGCAGGTCCAGTGCACCCCCATTACCCCAGATTCTATGTGCCTGAATATATATTTTCACTCGAGTGAAAGTCGGGTACAAGTGAATTAACTTTCCAAAACTATTTGTATCATTTTGGAATTTTAGTCCAATGTCGAAAAACAATCTTTATGCTCACCTAGAAGGTCAGGTGCAGGTGAACATAACGTAGTATTTTTTTTCTACATTGTTGGATCTCAGCCAATCAGAGAGATGGGAATTATTCAATCATAAAATAAACCTTTTTTATGATTTCTAGAGACAGGAATGATAAACTGTAACATCCTACAGAGTGGATCGACGAACAAACAATATGCAAACTACTAAAAGTTCGTGGACTATCGCCATAAAATAAAAACCGGTTGATGTACTTCAATGAATTTTTACTCATTTATAGTTAGCATTATCTTTTCTATCTATAGAATAAACTATAAATCATAAGTTCTATTTTTTAATATACTGTTAATGTTTTTGTAAGCAATGGTATGACCAGACGGCGCAACCTCAAAATATGACGTATTTCTACCCAAATCTAACGGAGAATAACTCTTTTGATATGAGCATTTGTCATTCAATAATCACGTTTATTCACACAATTGTTCCGTAAAAATTGCAATTTTTACCTCATCCTGCAAGTACTATAAAATGTTATCGTAAATTTTAGAGAGAATGCTCAAACAATTAAGGGGTTAAAATGACGTCGGAATGGTAAAGGATGTTTCAATTTTCCCACATTCTATTAAGCTTCATTCACTGGGGGAAAAAAACTGGCATAGACCAAGGAAATGTTTAAACAGGGTACAGAGAAATAAAATGCATCCAGAGAACCTTTTTTGATTTAGGAGGAGGGACGATTGTCGATTTACAGGCCGGGTGTCCATTAAAATCAGTGAAGTCGGAAAAACAACGTTGCTCAAGTGCGGTAGACATTGAACTCCGACAAGCAAATTATACGCTGGAATAATCAAATGAGATTTTTTCCCTTTGTATAAACCCATTTAAAATAGTATACATTAAAATCAGCTGTTTATACGTTGTAAAGTCGTATAAAGATATTTCAGTCAAAACTTAATTCCAGGGAATCTCATGGAGAGAAGTGTATTGAGACAGAGGAAGAGAACATTGAGAATCAATGATGTTATCGGACGTCATAAAACCCAACGGCGACAGCGCCGGGTGATCTTATAATGTGTTTTTTTTTTATTAAATGACAACTTGGCTAATTATCAACGTATCAAGATAAAATTTCAAACACTTCTTAAACTTTTGTTGTTTTTTTTGTTACTTATACATTTTGTAAGCATCGACATCATATTTTCATTTTATCGCATCAGTCCACAAACTTTTTTGATAACCCCTCGTATATGATCCTGTTCCACAGTACAGACATTTGGATTTCCTTTGACTGCTGAATATTTTGCTTTTTAATGAACAGACAGCTGTTTAATTTTTGTTCTAAACCAACATCAATATATATTAAAACAGAAACATAACTCAGATTTAAATATTTGAACTGTGTTTATTAATAAATGTATAAGTTATTGCGATAAAAATGATTGGTATCTTAGCAAGAATGAGATAATGTCAAAGTTAGCAATTTTTCATTCTTTTTATTGGTCAATATTCATCAGGTGGGTGGGGATGTTTCATCTCCCTGTCATACGTCCCCATTAAGGTCCTGGAGTGGCACTATCCGCCGTGGGGAGTTTAGGACACGCCTCCCTGTTCGTTTTGTGGGTATGATGTCCGAGTCATCGGATTCCTCACCGTCACCCGTTGTCGTCCCTTGAGTCCCTGATAAAAAAAGAAATTCAAGGAATTCAATGACAACTCCAAGGTCAATATTGTAAGATATATGTATTACAAAACTCTTCATTTAATCTTATTTTAAGAAGTCTTCACTGCTATAAAAATTTTAATTTTGCCTGAATGCCTTCAAATTCATTTTACATGTATGTATTCACAAGAAAAAAGTAATTGTTAATGTTATTCATGCTTCTTAGTATTTTTTTCAGGGCACATGCAAAAAAAAAAAAATTAACATATATCGGGGACAAAGACATTGACTAATGGGGATTTGCAACATCTTGCATTCAATCATGAATCTACAAGATACACAAGAATGCATACTTCTGAAGATAATGGTCAAAATTTTGAAAGAAATTAAAAACTTTGAGCCATCACTACAATTTTGATCATTTTAAAATATAACTAAAACATTTTTTGATGATTTATTATTATGTAGCCCAAAATGAGAGAGAGAGAGAGAGAGAGAGAGAGAGAGAGAGAGAGAGAGAGAGAGAATGGTGTTAAGATACAACACAATTACAATTTTGACACTTTCAACATCTAATCTTTAGAAGTGGAATAAAATTGGGGGGATACATAGTTTTTGGTCTGTCTGTTCATCAAAACCTATAATCTTGCTTACAACAACACAGTTAAAAAAATAAATACTTGTGATCCTTCATTCTTGCCTTTTCATAGCTTTGAAATGGAAATAGTCAAAGCATGGTGCATTGAAAACAATAGGTTTTATACAGCAGATCTGTTATGACCCTGACCTGGCCAATTAGACAAAATCAAGGTCCTGAAAATCTTTGTCCAGTCCATTATTTTGAAACGGAGCTCAGTATAATCTATTTCACAGAAAAATACAGTTGTGATGAAGAATGTGTCATGAACTTGAACCAAGGTCATCTGAATGAGTTTGATTACAAGTATGTCATGCTCAGGGGCAATCTTTTTCACAAACACATCTAGTTTGACAATTTTTTTCCCCAAAATATCCACTTTTTAAAACAAGAGGCCCATGGGCCACAATGCTCACCTGAATCACTTTGGCCCTGCTGTTCTGCATCAGATTTTCCCCCCAATATTCATGTGATCCCTTACTGTGGTCCCACCCTACCCTGGGGGTCATGATCTAAACAATTTAGAATCTACACTATCTTAGGAAACTTCAACATAAGTTTCAGCTTTTCTAACCCAATAGTTCTTAAGAAGATTTTTAAAATGATTTTTTTTTCTATATATTTCAATGTAAACCTTTGATCCCCTATTGTGACCCCACCCTATCCCCAAGAATCATGATTTGAATAATTCAAAATCTACACTACAATATAAAGCTTCCACACACGTTTCAGCTTTTCTGGTCCAATGGTTCTTGAGAAGAAAATTTTTAAAGATTTTTCCTATAATATATTTCAATGTAAAACTTTGATCCCCCTAATGTGGCCCCACCCTAACCCCAAGGGGCCATGATGTGAAAAATTATGAATCTACACTACCTCAGTAAGCTTTCCTGTAATTTTAAGCTTTTCTGGCATGGTGGTTCTTGAAAAGAAGATTTTTCTTTGACCCCACTTTTTTTTTTTTTTTTTTGCCTTTTCTTGATTACTGTGAAATCACTTATTTTTGAGGGGGGTTTAATTTTTGTTGTTTTCGAGGTTTGAAGAAACCCACAAATTTATCTCCTCTACAAAATATAAAATTTCATGTACAAAACTACTCATCACTTCCCTAACCATGAAAGGAAATCCCCACTAATCAATCATTTTTCTTCAAACCTTGAAAATTTGTCCTTATGAAAATATGTGATTTTACAGTATCTCCCCTTGGAAGAGGGCTTGGCCCTTCAATTTAACAATTTAGAATCCTCTTCACCCAAGGATGCTTTGTACCAACTTTGGTTAAAATTGGTCCAGTGGTTCTTGAGAAGAAGTTGAAAATGTAAAAAGTTTACAGATGGAGGGATGGACAGACAACTACACAGATAGATGCCGGACAATGGGTGATCAGAAAAGCTCACTTGAGCTCTCAGCTCAGGTGAGCTAAAAACTTAAATCATTAGTACACATAATAGATTATGTGACATGTAAGACATCAAATGTACAGCATGATAACTATACAACTACATATAGATTAGTTTGAAAATTAAAAAAAAAAAAAAACTAGTTGCTCATATATGACAAAAATATGTGCACAAAACAAGCAAAATTCTAATGAAGTCTACAAAATTCCCATAAACAAGCACTCTGTTAATACATGTATTACTCATCTCTTGACAGACAAAACAATAGTCTGTCAATATTAGGAATATAGAACCAGAAAGCATACACAACACACAAAGTTTACCTTATATGCATTGCATTTACAAACATTCTGCTTGTAATATAAAAATTAAGCAATTAAAAACATTAACATTTAAGTATTATTTACATGTAAAGCATTAATATACATTTACATGTGTATAATGTATATTATTGCCCAATCCAGGGATCCCCCTGGCATCCTTTGTGCAAATTGTAACAGGGTTTAAACTCAGCAATTTTGTAACTTGTTTCCCTACATGGTGAATTAAAATATTGAAAGACTCCTATAATTTTGCCAGGTTTGGCATTTCAAAATTGATATGACCAAAATGCTTTACCAGAAACAATGTTTAATTCCAATACATTTGTTCTTCAAAGCATTTCAATGACATTTAGCATGGCAAATTTTCCATGTCCAAGAGAAGCAGCTCTTCCTCAGATGATTGTCACAAGAATATTGTCCTTGTCTAAATTTCCTTTCTTGTGTTTTCCATTTCCAATAAAGGGATATCTATGTTGAGGGTAGACAAGTTTAGCTATGGGTTCCTTAATTTGATACTTAACAAATTGTGTTTGTGAAACACTGATGCCCCCACAGGGGTAGACAAATAGAATTTTGCATTACTTGCCCTCGGACAGGTTACCATCATAAAATTACTTGTCCTACCAAAAAATATGCTTGTCCGACCTGTTTCTTAATTTAAACAAAATCATTAACATTAAATTATTTCTCAAATGAGACACTACATGGGAATCAACCTAGATCTAAAATCACTAAATTCTCCCAGATTTCTTTCGATATTTTCAGGGCATTGGTAAAGTCAAAGTTTCATTCTATTCTCCTCAAAATTCTTCAATAAGGTACTCCATATATTTTCTTTAAATTAATCTAATGAAAAAGGTGAAGATAACAAACAGTGATTGATCTGAAAAAACCTACAAACGAGAAAAATCTGTGAACACTGCTGCATGCCGATTGAGCTATCGACTTCATGACTATGTGATTGCCAACCAACAACACCAATTTTAATAACAGTAGCACGTCTGTATTCACAGAATGAATTTAATATTTTGTAAGTAAAAAAAGTCTAAAATCCAACTTAACCTTTTTGACGACATCAGAAGATGTCATGTTTTACGACTTGTGTTTATTTTAACAACATATTCATGGGTAAATTCTAGAGAAGTTCCGAACGAGTATTCAATATAGTGGTTAACAGCGGCGAAAACAGATGCTTTGTTGTGATTCATGATATTTTAAAAGCAGTAACACAAAAGACATATTGAGTATACGATTTTTTGTAAATAGGAAAATTAAAGCACTTGTCCGTGGGCAGGCACCACTTATCAAATAACTTGCCCACCAAACAAAATTGGTTGTCCCGGGCGTCGGGCAATGCTATTTGTCTAGCCCTGCCCCATATGGCAGCTCATGGCAAAGGTTAAAGTTTCTCAAAGTCAAATGCAAGTCAAACTCTGAGATCAAAAGATCAATAATATTGGTACCAAAAGAAAGGTCTTGTCACAAGGAAAATACCTGTGAAATATGAAAGCCCTTGCACCAACCGTTCAAAAGTTATGGGAAAGATTAAAGTTTCTCAAAAGTAAGTCAAACTCCAAGGTCAAAGTCAAAGTGTTGTTGGTACCCAAAAGAAAGTCTTCTCACAAGGAATACACATGCGAAATATGAAAGCGCTAGCACCAAGCATTCAAAAGTTAAGGCAAAGCAGGGGTGTGCAATTAAAAAATTCAAGTACTAGCCCACGGGCTAGTGGCAGCAATAAAGTCACTAGCCCCAAGTAAAAAGTTACTAGCCAAAATATAGAGGCAAAAATAATTAAAAAAAAAAATATTGCAAAAAGGTAATTGTTGATAAAGTCAGGGTACTAAGATCATTCTTTTTTAGAATTAAAGTTTAATTCTCGCTAGTAAAATTTAATCATATATAAATTTATTATTATGATAGAAAATAAAAAAGAATTTAAATCTTCCTTTTTTTTCTGATCATTGCACTAGCTCATCTAAAATGAAGCAAAAATCATTTTGTTTTCATCTTATATCATTAAATACACTGGAAATATATTTTATATTAATTACATAACATTTATCTTTCAGTTGATTGAGTGATTGTAAATAATTTAATGAGATATCTGCATCTTTACCATAAACAAAGGAATGGAGGAAATTCGGATTAGGAAAAAAACGATCGCTTTTTGAAGTAAATAAGTCAGGTAGTACTGCAAAATGGATAAGACTATGGAGATTTATGGACAATAGGAGCATGCTGCCTGGAAAATTTTTACTGGTTGGTATTTAATAGCAAAAAATGAGTGAAAATACGGTTGTGCTTTTCATATATTATATAGTTCGAAACATGAGCGCTGCGTGAAGTTTGAGGACGATTTTAGGGTACGGACAAATTTAGGGTATATGACGATATGTGTAGTTTTAATTTCTACTAGCCCAAGGGGCTACCTCCGTGCAGAAAACCACTAGCCCGACCCCCATAAATGGTAGCCCTGGGCGTCGGGCGATGCTAATTGCACACCCCTGCCAAGGAGAAAGTTTTTCAAAAGTGGGTCAAACTCCAAGGTCAAACTTGTTGGTACCCAAGGGAAGGTCATGAATACACATGTATAATATGAAAGCCCTAGCTCTAACCATTCAAAACATGACCAAGGTTAACGTTTTTTTGAAAGTAGGTCAAACTCCAAGGTCAAAAATATTTTTACCCAAGGAAAGGTCTTATCACAAGGAATACACAAGTGAAATATGAAAGCCCTTGCACCAACTATTCAAAAATTATGGCCAAGTTTAAAATTTGGCAAAATTTTGCAAAAGTGGGTCAAACTCAAAGGTCAAAAGTGTTGGTACTCAAAGAAAGGTCTTGTCACAATGAAAACACATATGAAGTATGAAAGCCATAACTCCAATCAAAAGTTAAGGGCAAGGTTAAAGTTTTTGGGGACAGACAGACAGATGGAGGGAGGGAGCAAAAACTTTATGCTTCCGAATCTTTGATTATGAGGGCATAAAAAGCCCATATGCTAGAGGAAAATTTAGTTTAAACCCTGTATAAGGGGATCTCTGACAAGACTTTATCTTAACTGTACAATATAAACCATTAATTAAAAAAATATAAAACAAAAACAATGACACATCACAAAACATTTAAAGCCGAGTTAAACACTCACAAAAATCAAAATGATGACTAATGAATAGATTTTATAATAGATACTCACTGACCTTGGGAGGATTTGTCGAGGTCAAACAATTCTATTTCGCTATCAGAATCTGAGTCAAAGGACACTTTAGGTTTCTGTCGTGTTGATTTCCTTTTGGTCTGGCGTTTTGGTGGTGTAGTATTCTCATCACCATCAACAAAGTCTCCATCACTGTCACTATCTATCTGCCGGCGGCCCCCACGCCTCCCACGAGCTGTAAATAACAATACCACAAATTCACTTCAACAGCTGATATTCAACATCTTAACATACAATTCATATTGTTCACATCAAAAAAAGATGCAAAGCCTACAGTGATTTCCACACATTTTCAAAACTATGCTATTTTACCAAGGGAAAAAATATACTATGAAGTTAACTGTGGTCAATCTCTAAAAGTTTGGATAAAAAAACTACCAGAAATTACTATCGAGGACATAGCTTGTTATCCACAGTGATTCTGAAGGGTGAAAATTACAAACACTTTTAATGTTAATAATTAAGTAGTTAGGAACAATGTTTACATACATATCAATATGTTTACATACATATCAAATTTCTATATTAAGGTTTCACTGTTTCAATGACTATATTTGGGAACTATTAACTTGAGCTGTCCAGAATGGAAAAAAATCCAGACTAATGAGTTTGACTGGGTTTTGCCATATTTGGCTATCTTATCTTAATCAAAGGTTACAGTAACCTAACTTTAATGTGTGACACACCTTCTACCCAAAATGCATCAGCTGAAAAGTTTGATGATTCTAGGCCTTGTCGTATTAAAGTTATGATTATAAAGTCTAAAACAAAATGACAACACGCCTCTAAAATAAAGAAAAATCATCCAATCATAATGAAAATACCTGGTGCACATTTTTAAACAGTGAAAAAGAATGTATCAGTTTTCAGACAAATCTATACAGTTGTCTCTAAAAACATCTCTGGATAAAAACATATTTACAGACAGACATTCTGGTTCCAATGATAAATTCATTGAACATTAAAACTGTGGCATATTCTGTTGATTTTATATATCGGACCAGGGAGCAAATTTTACAGGTAAGATTATTCATGAACTTTGCAAAATTTCAGGTATCCAGAAATCCAGAACAACTCCGTACCATCCCATGGGCAATGGTATGACGGAGCGTTTCAATAGAACCCTTTTTGATATGCTTGGAACTTTGGAATCTCATCAGAAAAAGAAATGGAAAGAGTATGTAGCACCTCTTGTACATGCCTATAACTCTACAAGACATGAAAGTACAGGCCAAACACCATATTTTCTCATGTTTGGACGACACCCTAGACTTCCTATTGATCTGGCATTTGACATTAACCAGAAGGAATATGAGAACCTAAACAGCTATGTCAAGAATCTTAGAGAAAGAATGAGAGAGGCTTACAAGATCGCCAAGGAATCTGCAGACAAAGCCAGAGAAAAACAAAAGAAAGGATATGACTTGAGATCAAGGGCATCAAGAATACAGGTAGGAGACAGAGTTTTAGTAAAGATAGTTAGCTTCGACGGAAAACATAAGATAGCAGACAGGTGGGAGGAACAACCTTATATAGTTAAAAATCAACCAAATAAAGAAATACCAGTATATATAGTAGAAAAAGAAAATGGGAAAGACAAACAGAAGGTGTTACATAGAAATTTATTGTTACCAATAGGATACTTAGATACAGACTCTGTTGATCATCCACAAATCAAATCAAGACCAAAACCTACACCAAGACCGAGACAGACGAAACTGAAACAGAAAACAAAGGAAGATGCTGAGAGTGACACAGAGAGTGAAGCTTCATACCAGCTGGTTAAACTTCCTGTAAATGTTGATACCAACATTAGTATAGAAGGAAGTATAGAAGAGATAGATGAGCTGCCACTGGGAGATATATCTACTGAGCAGTCCGGACCTCAGGAGGAGTTAGCAGACGAGGATTCTGACACTCCACCAGTCGCAGTACTGGAAGATGAAGATCATGTAGTACAACATGATGCTGATGAAGAAGCTGATGTTGATGAGGATGATGAGTCACACGAAGAACCAATCACTCTCAGAAGAAGTACTAGAGAACGACGAAAACCAACATATCTGTCAGATTACAAATGCCAAAGGATAGATCATGACTGGAAAGAGAAAGTTTTTATGCTTCAACACTTGATGGATATTTCAGACAAGAGGTATGAAAATGTTTTTATCAAATTAATTGCTGATGTAATGAAGAAATAAATGTATGCAATATTTTTATCATGTTTTTAATTTTAAGATGAAATGACGGGGACGTCATTTTTTCAACAGGGGGGAGTTTGTAGTAATGGGTTAGTTGAGATATTTTAAACTATAAATAATAAATCATAAAATAATTTAACAAATAAACACATTGCCTTAAATAATTAAACTTAAAGTTAGTTTGACAATTACAGTTACTAACCTCACAGCATGGTAGTACTTATTTTAGATTTAGAGTTATCTTTTCATAGTTAGAACTCTTTAGTGTATGCATAAGGTTGAGAACCAGTTTAGAGGTCAGTTATAGTCGATTGGCTATTCTTTGTATACATAGATTTTATTGGTAGGTCACTGAGGTCAAATTCCTTAGTGAGGATAGCCTTTGTCTTTTGAAATTCACTTTGAATCTAGCCATAAGTCAGAGAGCTATGATTATTTCCATCTTGGTTTGATACATATATTATATTTGACTGGACTTTGACCTGATCACAGTAAGTTCTCTTTTCTTTTACTAACATTTTATATATCATTTGCTTGGTTGAATGAATGAGTATGAATGAAATAGTATTTGATGAGTAAATGGAAAATGTGTAAATAATATAGTAAATGATTTAAATGAATATAAGTATACAAGAGACCTGTTTTAAAGTTACACTGATATATGAAAATGATGAGATCTGACCTGAAAGAATTTGTAAATATTGTATATTATAAAAAGTAGTAAATACAACTATTATGTTGTGTGGACAGGTTCAGATATGGTTGAAGTCAGGATTGACACATGTAGCTGTAACACCTAGATATTTACATATGCAGCCTAGGTCCACAACTTGGTATTTATTAATATAATTATTTTGAGATTTGTAAATATTTTTGGTAAATTATATAAATTTACTTGAGTTTTATGCGTATGGAGAAATAAGAGTTATTTCCCTTAATTGTGAATTATGAAGTGATAATTAGTAAATGAATAGGAATATCAGTGTAATATAGATTTTATGCTAATGGAATAATTTGTGATAAAATATACACCTACATTAATGTTATAAAATATTTATTATGTTTACATGTTTTGTAGGGTTGATATATATATCTATATATATTTAATCCACTGTCCAAATTAAAAGAACCCATTACAACTACAACCAGAGTGTTTTTCTTCTTTGTGGGAAAACCCGGTTACAACATGTATATCAAAGAATTGAAAGAAAATTGTTTAAGGTTGAATTTTAATTTTTTCCCCCATTTTCTCTGTCTTACCATGCAATTTTTTTTCGCTTATTGTCCCCTGTTGCACTAAAAGTGGGGGATGTTAATTTGGGTCTGTCTGTCTGTATTTCTGTCTGTCTGTAATACTTTTGTTTCTGCACGATATCTTGAGAAGCCTTTGAACTTTTGCAATGAAATTTACATAACAACTCCCCATGGCCTAAAGAGGACCCCTATTGATTTTGAGGTCAAAAAGTCAAAGGTCATAAACTCTGTCTATTTTAACACTTTCGTTTCTGCACCATATCTTGAGAAGCCTTTGAGCTTTTGTAATGAAATTTTACATAACAACTCCCTGTGGCCTAAGGAAGACTCCTATTGATTTTGAGGTCAAAAGGTTAAAGGTCAAGGTAGTAAATTCATACATTCTGTCTTTGTGTAACACTTTTGTTTCCAAGTGTTATCTCAAGAAGTTTCTGAGCTTTTGCAATGAAATTTTATACCACCACTCCCTATGGCCCCGCCTGCCCCTCTCAAAGTGTCCCACCTGGGTTTTTTTTTTTTTTAAATTTTATTTTATTTATTTTTTTTTTTTTAATTTTATTTTATTTTATTTTATTTTTTTTTTTTTCATTTTATTTTTTTTTTTTTTTTTTTTTAATTTTTATTATTATTATTATTTTTTTTTTAATTAAAAGTCAGCTGGAAATTTGTTGGCATCAATCATGCTCAAAGTTTTATAGTTACTCCCCATTTGTATTTAAAGTCGTGTGGCACTATTTTTAGCAAAGGAGCAAGTGGAGAGGTATTAAATATAATACAGGTTGTCGGTGGACTTTATATTCTAATAGCATCTATTAGAACTGTTAAGTAAAGGCTAAATTAGACACCATGTGTTGTGTAAAATTTTGACAATATCGAACGTGAATATATACATGTATATGTGACCTGCTGTTTTCATTTGATTTATTTCAAAGTCAAGTGCCTCATTGGTCTAGAGGTATGATTCTCACTTTGGATGCGAGAAGTTCCTGGTTCAAATCCCCGACGATCCCATATTTTTTTTTTGGAAATGTTTTTTCAATTTACTAAATGATAGTATTCAACATATGAAATGGAGAAGTTATGATGTCTGGCGTGTACAAACCTTCTCATTATTACAGTGTGATAAATATTTTATATAGCCCTGAAAGAATCTTCTGTACACATTTTTAAGAATAAGCAATCAAATCTATATATCCATATTGGCATTTTTTATTTGCTTCAGTATATACATTCAATAAGTTAACTCTGCAAATCCAGGGAGAGTCAAGGTCTGACCCCCCCCCCCTCCCCTGATCTGCCCATGCTTTTTTTTTCCTTAAGGGGGGGGGGGGCACAAATTCTCTAAATTACTTATTTTCCCATATTTTTCAGGCAGAAATTTTAAATTGTGCTGGATATTTGTCAAGTTTTTTTTTTTTCTAATACATTTGCCCTATCTTCTCTGATTCAAAAGTAATTACCATTAAAACTGTTGACAAGTAGGTCAAACTTAAAGGTCAAAAACCATAGGGTAAAAAATTATAGCACATTTGGAAAGGTTTTGTCACAGGTATTGCACATATGAAATCCTTACCTTCTCTCATTCAAAAGTTTTAACCAACATTAAAGTTTTTGTGACAGATAGACTGATGGACAAATGGGATTTAAAGTCCATGCATTTTTTGAAAGCAGGAGACGATTAAATGTTTAACATTTTACCAGGAGTTTTGCCTTTGGCGGGGGTTTTAGCTCCTTTAGTTTTGGACTTGCCCTTGGCCAGACTTGCTGCCTGTGAAGCCTGACTGGCTTTTACGGCAATATCCCCCTCCTCCAGACCTTTAGTGTGACACTGCTGGAGGCGCTGTTCTAACTCATCAATCAATGTCTGAAATTAACAAGAGCAAAATTAATTATCTTCACTATAACATCAAATACTGTATATCAACATCAATTAACATTCTAAAGACTTATTACAATCAGTGAGAAAATGACATTTATTGTGTACTTGTATGATCCTTAACTTGTTGCAAAATTAAAATTCATGACAGACTTAAATATGCACCATCAAATACAAAACATTTTGATTTTCATGTAGTTAAACATTTTAGAATGTCAAAGAAATTACCTTAGCTGTTGGCTTTGCAAAGGACCTGGATTTACTGATAATTGTACAGAAACAGCTGTACACCTCCTCATCTGCCAATTTATCACCAAAACAGGCAAAGTTCTCCTGGAGTTTACGGATTGATTTCTCACTGTACGACATCATAGATAGACAGAAGGATAAATCCCGCCATTGTCTATCAGTCCTGTAAAAATAAAACAACTTATAAAATGTAAGCACTTAATAGAAGAAATGTGAACACTTGTTTGGTCAGAATGTGAATACCTCTAGTATAGTGCTGAAATATATTTCTATAAATAAGAATGTGTAATGTAAAATGTAGAACTTTGAATAGATTATACCATCCTTCTTGTCCAGATAGCCACAATTTTCCAAATGTTGACTTGTAATGGTTAGTTGAAAAAAATGTGTTGTCTTTGTACATAAACTTACTTTGTTGCCCTGAAGCGATGGCAGAGTTTCTCCACCAGGCTCTCACATTGCCGGTCTTTCTGGATGAATGAGAACAGATATCTGAAATGGGAGAGAACAGTAATATAAAACAATTTTTTATAGTAAAGAATTTAATTATCTTTCTAATGTTTTGGAAAAAGAATTTTGTCAAAAACAAATAATGACTCATTAAATCAAAATTGTCCAATGAGAAAAATTGATCAAGATGTTGCTCATCTTTATTACCTATACCTTTAGTATGTAAGGATAATATGTTTGATACAGTTCTCTAAAGTGCAGAAAGATTTCCACATAAAGGTATTGCACAACAAATTTCAAGAAAATACACACACAAACAAGCAAAAGAAAAGCTATTGATGCACTGAAATACATTATTCCTACGGGAGATGTACTTACTTCATGATGATTCTGAAGTTTTCCTCATCCACTCCAACATCTGGGTCAGACAGACGGCTGATCACATCTGGCATGATATTGTAGATAGCATTCCCCTGAATAACGGAAATTACATTCATAATGATTTCTCAACAAATTCTTCTTTCTTTCATTAAATCTTTTGCTTTCAATAAGCACAGGAATTTCTATTGTAATGGCCCTAATCTGTCATGAAAATTATTTTATATGCATCAATTTAACTTGCTTACAGTTTATGGTTATAACCAAGTAGTCTATTACCATATCTAGACATTCATAAACAATGTTACAATGCATATGATATAATTTCAATCTTACATAAAACACATCTCAATGACTTCTAACCTTATGTGAGAGCTCATGGAAGAACAGTTTGGCTAGACTGGAGATCCTCTCATCATGGTCCACCACACAAGTAGCCACTTCACTGATCTGACCTTTCACCTTGACCATGTCATTCAGGATCAGATGGGTCAGTACCTGTAGAGTGTTCTTCCTAACCGTCTGAGAGTCATCTCTTAATCTGAAACATTACTGTACTTTATATTATCAGCCACACTTTACCTCCTCAAATATTTGATTATTTATGGCAGAACACTCCCTTCTGTGGATGAAACAGAATATAAAGTATGACCAGGACCTCTGTGTCTGAACAGTCACTCAGATATGACACATCTTTTGAAATGTTGTTTACAGCTTAAATCAATTACAAATGCCCTGTTCACATGGAGAGTTTAATTCAAATTAAACTTACATGTAAGTTACTGCACATTTAATAATTAAATTTGAATTACGTTCACATGTATTTGTTTAATCTACATTAAGTTTACTTTGCATCAAATTACTTGACACTAAATACATATAAATCAGATCTGTAGTTTTAAAGAAAAGTTAAAAAATTTAAGTTTACAGAACAACATACAAATGACCAATGTAACAAAGCTCATAAAGAAATCAATTCTTACCTGGCATACATATGTGGAGTCCAGGGTTCTATCAGGTTAGGGAATCGTACAGTCAGATCTCCCAGAGCTATGATAGTGTTAGCACGGATTGTTGGGTAAGGGGATTTCTCCAACACCGTAAAAAGCAACTGGAGGTTATTCTCACAGAAGTCAGAACTAGAAGCAAGAATTATTTATACTTAGACATATTTTTCTTGGAAAATGTTGTCCCGAATTTGTGTTTCAACCAAGATTTTGTTAAGCTGTAAGTAATCAAATAGTTTTTTTTTCTCATAGTATTTTAAGTTGTATATACCTGACAAGCATGAATTTAGCTAGAGACAGAGTGGCGGCCGTCCTGAGGTTAGGGTCTGAGTATCTGCTCTGATTGGTACACACAGTAACCAGAAGGGGACCAATACAGCCCAACAAAGAGTCTCCTACACATAAAATTCATATCTCTTAATACATGTAAATATACAATTTGCTAGTATCATTTTTGACATTTTAAATATACACACACATACATGTAGTTCAAAATTTGTTACCTTGCTCTAATGCCTCACCCTTGTATTCATTTTTTGTTATGAAGAATATCTTTTCATCTGATTAATATGATAAATTACCTGATACAATTTCCACATCACACACTTTTCGGATGTACTCTGCATCAGCATCTTCCTCTGCTGCTCCTGCCAAACCAAGTTCATCTTCAATGGCTTCTGATGCTGTTGTTTTGTCCTGGCAATTCATGAAAATTAATATACAAGAACCACTAATTTTTTTGATTTTCTTTAATACCAGTATCAAATTTTGCAGTTATAAAATATCATTTACATGGAATTTACATTTAAAATCTTTCTGTTTAAATCTAGAGAATCTCTCATGCCATACCACTTTGCTTCCTCGTCTGTCAGCCTTGGGTGTTTTTACATCTTTTTTCTGTTCTTGTATGGCCCTGCGTCGTTTTAACTCTCCGAACACATATGTATCCAAATGAACCATCTGTCTAAAGGCCACATGACCTGCCACTGAGATCAGACGAGTAAGAATTACTGTGGCCGAGGAGCTAGGTGGGCTACTTGGGGGACCACCCTCCTGGCTGCTAGGTTGACTACTGGCATCACTCCCCTGGCTCTCTGGTTCTTTACTCTGGCTGTCTGGTTCTTTCTCTGGTTGACTTTCCATTGGCTCGTCTTCTTCCATTATATTAACTGTAACACAACACTAAGTTGTTATTAAGTTTCAATGATAAGGAATTCAAATCTACCAGAAATGTGAATTTAACAACACATGATAAGAAATTACTATTGATACACACACTTTATTACATTTTCAACAGTGAAATACTGTGATTTACTCATTGAATAAAAGTGATATTCTCTCACAGTGTGAAAGGATACCAAAGTGATATTCTCTCACAGTGTGAAAAGATATCAAAGTAAAATATAATTTCTGGCCTGTAACAAAATTGAGATAGAAACTAAACCATCTTGAAAGAGATTAAAACTGCCAATTTCTTCCCAAATATGTTGCTAAAATCCATGTTACAATGTTTTCAATCTCACAACTGCCAAGCTATGACTTCTCAACTGCTACAACTATGACACCACAGCCTATGACACTGTGTTAAGAAAAGACAGGGGCAAAGGGAAAAATCAAAGAAAATGTAATAAACAGAAAATTCAATGTTTTGTAGTTGGATATTGAATGTATCTCACTCGTGAAAATTTTAAAAATCCTGTCCCACACTCGTGAAATAATTCCATATCCAACTACAAAACATTGAATATCCTCTATATATGCCCACTTATAAAACAAGAAAACTGAGTCCAATAGATTCAGCTGTAAAGTACATGTATAATTTACCACGAGTTTTACCTGGACTAAGAGTCTGGTTCTTGTGAAGTGGTTTTACCTTGAATTAAGAGTCTTTGTCCTGTGTTTAGCAGTTTTACCTTGACTAAGAGTCTTGTCCTGTGTTAAGTGGTTTTACCTTGACAAAGTGGTTTTACCTTGACTTAAGAGTCTTGTCCTGTGTTAAATGGTTTTACCTTGACTTAAGAGTCTTGTCCTGTGTTAAGTGGTTTTACCTTGACTGAAGAGTCTTGTCCTGTGTTAAGTGGTTTTACCTTGACTAAGAGTCTTTGTCCTGTGTTAAGTGGTTTTACCTTGACTAAGAGTCTTTGTCCTGTGTTAAGTGGTTTTACCTTGACTAAGAGCCTTTGTCCTATGTGAAGTGGTTTTACCTTGACTAAGAGTCTTGTCCTGTGTTAAGTGGTTTTACCTTGACTTAAGAGTCTTGTCCTGTGTTAAGTGGTTTTACCTTGACTAAGAGTCTTTGTCCTGTGTTAAGTGGTTTTACCTTGACTAAATTTTTGTCCTGTGTTCAGTAAGTTTTACCTTGACTAAGAGTCTTGTCCTGTGTTAAGTGGTTTTACCTTGACTAAATTCTTGTCCTGTGTTCAGTAAGTTTTACCTTGACTAAGAGTCTTGTCCTGTGTTAAGTGGTTTTACCCTGACTAAGAGTCTTTGTCCTGTGTTAAGTGGTTTTACCCTGACTAAGAGTCTTTGTCCCCTGTTAAGTGGTTTTACCTTGACTAAGAGTCTTGTCCTGTGTTAAGTGGTTTTACCCTGACTAAGAGTCTTTGTCCCGTGTTAAGTGGTTTTACCTTGACTAAGAGTCTGGTTCTGTTTCTCAGCTTTGATGACTTCCTTTGCCAGTGCTTTGATGATGTCACCACAGATAATATCTGGATGTTCTGCCAGCTTATATATAACATTTATGGCCTGCTCAGCAAATGGAATCCAATATGGATTGTCCAACTGTTGTACCCCTGCAGAAACACAAAAACTTTTCATTATTAAATCATGAATGAAAATTTTTCATCACAAAACACAGTGACAAAAACATTACCATTGATGAGTAGTGTTTGTATCCGGTCGAACATGTCATGATTTTGGGGGAACCTAAATGGCTCAGCCTGTAACTGTCCTTGCACCTTCTTGGGTGGTCCCAGCTTCAACAATGCCAGGCAGGTGTCCCGTGCCAAAATGAAGTCAGAGTCTGCTCTTTCTCCAAGACCCTCCTTCACAAGTACATCTATGTTACTGTTAACCACACCCATATCTGCCCTAAAAAAAAAAAATTAAAAGAAATGCAGATGTAGAATGTATCCACATCTACAATGTACTTATGTGTTCATTGTCTTTGTACACAATTTTAGTAAATCTTAAAAACATACTTATACATGTAGTTAAACGTTACAATACACATGTACTTAACAACTGATGCATATGCAAAATTTAGGTACAGAAAATTACATGTATTGAATGCAAAAAGAAAAAAAAGTCTTTCCTTTCTAAAATATTTCAGAAAATAATTGTTAAACAAAGTGAACGACAAGTAATTGCACAATATATATTCCAAACAATTCACAGAAGTATCATAAAAAAATATAACTTCCAAAATTCCTTACCCTGCTATCATGTAGAGCAGTGTGACAGCTGCTCTACTGTCCTCTACTGTAGTATTGGGAACCTTCATAGCAAACCTCTCCCACAACATTTGTATAACACCCTGGTCAATCTCCCCAGACTTCATCAGCTCCACCATCTGTATTTACCAGAGAGACAAGGATAAAGTACAAACAATTAATAACTACAAAGTTACTGTACATTGACTATAAAACTATAAACATAGGTAATCAAAGATTACGAAGCTCACCTCGACAAATGTTATCTATAAGTAAGGCAAATTTCACATAATACTTTTTTTTCTAGTTAGGGTACATCCCAAGATCAATATCCATGCAAGAGTGGTTTAAGTAGGACTTGTAGTTACTTGGAAATGGACCTGCTCAAAAAAAATTTAACCTGTTTAGTAATCAAAAAATTGTGGAGTTCCAACATCCAAAGAGAGTCTGGACATTTTCATCCTTAGATGCACCATTTATGCAAGTTTAATCATAACAGGCCATAATATTATATGGCGTCTCTAAAAAAATTACCCTAGTCACTCATCTGTAAAATGTACGTCAGATTCAGAATCCAACGCAAGTCTGGAAGTGTCCATCCCTAGGTACATCATCCATGCTAATTTAGTTAAAATATGGCTAAAATTCACTCATGTGGAAAATCTAGGTCAGATCCAGCTTCCGAAGCAAGTGTATTAGTGTCCATCCCTAGATGCATCATACATGCAAGTTTGGTCCAGGTAGGGCTTATAGTTACTTGGGAATGGACCTGCTCCAAAAACTTTAACCTGGTCACTCATCTGGAAAATCTAGGTCAGATCCAGCATCCAAAGCAAGTGTAGTAGTTTCCATCCCTAGATGCATCATACATGCAAGTTTGGTCCAGGTAGGGCTTATAGTTACTTGGGAATGGACCTGCTCCAAAAAATTTAACCTGGTCACTCATCTGGAAAATCTAGGTCAGATCCAGCATCTGAAGCAAGTGTGGTAGTTTCCATCCCTAGATGCATCATACATGCAAGTTTGGTCCAGGTAGGGTTTATAGTTACTTGGGATTGGGACTTGCTCCTAAAACTTTAACCGGGATGCCGACGGTATAGCATAAGCTCATCTAGACTTCATTGAGGTGAGCTAAAAATACGTCATTTTCACTTTTGATTTACTGTAAATGTCTTGAAGTACTATATTTACAATAAAATTAACACTATACCAATCCCTCCAAAGATGTTAAGTCTCCTAGATTGGCCCCAGACAAGAGAGCTGAGAGATTCTTCACAACTGAGAAAGCTTTGGATCTGAAATGGGAGAATGTCATAGCTTCAAAAACTTCAAACAAGTTCATGTGTATGAAGCACAAAAAATGCTGTTTTAATATTTACAAAATAAGTATTATTAGTTGTGTGTAGCACACTGCACTTTTACTTAAACAGCATTTATACCCAATAGGAAATGTACCTTTGATTTCCAACCTGAGGATTGAGGTATAGTCTTTTATATGCTGCCACCACTGCGTCTTTCACACTTGCCTCCCTTGACCATATCAAGTGTAACATACGACGTATCCCCATCATTGTCAGCGTCACCCCAAATTCAAACCCTGTCACAAAGAAATCAATGGCTTCCAGTATGTCTGTAATAGTCTTAGACCCCAACAGCTGACAAATGACTGGAACTGAAGCCTGAATCTGGGTCGCAAAAGCACAGCAATCCTGGAATGTAAAAGCACTAACATATACATGAATGTATGTATTGTAATATGAGTGAAGGCAGTATGGAAGGTACTGTACATGTTCACTGTTTATCAACCATCTTTCAAATCATTTTTCTTAAATCAAAATGCTTTAATGAATGCACAAAATAGTAATTCATACATATACATGTAGTTTTGTATACAAATATGTCAAACAACAAACATTTAGATGGAAAAAAAATGTATGTTATGCATGTAGCAAACTCATTCACAGTGGTCAAAACAGAAAATACTACAGTAAAACTTTTAAAAACTGGCATCCCTGAAAACCAGCCCCTCAAAACCAGCCGATGTAAAAAGTTACTGCCAGCAAGCACTCTCAGTTCTTTGTCAACCTCAGAAAACCAGTAACTCCTCTAATCCAGCCATTTGATCTGGTCTGGCAAGCAGCCAGTTTAGAGAAGTTTCACTTATATGCCCACTTCATTAGTGAAATAACAACCACTTTCCCAATGATATAAAACACTGTTTACCTTCAGATATTGTACAAGGACTTGCTGTTTGGAAACTTCATTCACTATAGGGTCTTTTTCCTTTTCTTTCTCCTCCTCTAATCCAGAGGATATAGCCAGAGTTTGCTTCTTGTGACCTACATGTACAACAGAAGATCCTATGATACAGATACAGGCTAACACCTATACACAAACACACTGCTACCAAATACTAATTCTTCACATTACATGTATATACCAGCTATTAAAAAGTCCAAATCATGAACACGCATATTATCACTTACCATAGAAAATCATTTTGAGGTAGCCAACATCAGTGGAGATGCCTGTTGAGCCTTGAGAATCCTCCCCATCAGCCTCACTAAAGAATGAAGCATGGTTTTCTCATACATTTCACTGTTTTGATACTTTTGACACTTCTTTAGCATACTGTAAACATACTTTTTTTCTATGGGGTTATAATTTCCCTGAATTACATTTTCTGTTTAATCCACAGATAGAAAATTAGGTGGATTTTTGGAATTGCCACTGAATGTCTAAAATGCACTTTAAATATGCTGTGACAAATTTCTGCTGAAAATCTGCAACTTCATACATATCGTATATAAATTCCATGTGGAAAAAAAGTACATGTACGTCTACAGTACCTTTAATGGGTTTTACAAATTTCAAAAGATTTAAACATTCTTTTTCATTATGCAACACTGACAACTACCTCTGACTTTCTTTTGCCATTTCCTGCATGAAGGAATTGTCAGGGAAGGCATCTTTAAAGGCTCCCAGTAAAGATTTAGCTTCTGTAAATTTCTCTTCAGTCAGCAGGTTATAGATCCTGTCCATCACACTAAAATAGAAAGTCACTATTGTTCAAATATGATAACAATTCCCCTAAATCTTTTAACCCTAAAGCATCTTCATGTAGCTTTAAACATCACATATCTGATGTTATCTTGACTTGTTCATTATTTTGATAGGTCTGTTTCCTGTTCAATGTTGTAGGGCCCTTATCTATTCTGTGTTGAAAAGGTCTTTATCTACCAATTTCAGTTATGGACTGCAAGTTTTTACCACTATGACATGGTCCTTTTCAGTTTACATTTTTGAAACATGTACATGTACACCTATACATTGTCTTTTTATGACCTCTACCTGTTAGCAGTCTCTTCATCCTGGATGAGATCTTCACTGTTTCCTTCCTCCATGTTCTCATCTTCCTCCTCTTCTGCCTTCTTCATAGCTCTCTTCAGCTTCTTCTCCAGAGGTTTCCACTCTTCATCAATTTTCACCATTGCCGAGTCTGACATGAAATAAACAAAGATTACAACCTGCTAACTTAACATGAATATACAATTTACATGGAAAACATTACAAAGAAGGATTAATCCTGGAACAATTAACATGATATAACCTTGGATGTTGTATTAGATGTATCTTTTCTTACCCTCTAAGACACTGGTTTGTTCCTCAGGAGCCATGCTATCAAGCTTCTCTTTCTCTTTTTCATAGTTTGCCTTTAGTTCCTCCAATGACAACTAATAATGGAACAAACAAATGCTTAACTGAGAATTCATTTACAAAACTTTTGATTTTCTGTTTATTCTTCATGATTTTAATGCAAAAAATCCAGCAGGTGGGATACTACTTGCTTTTACAAAAAAAAAAAACTACAGTATTGTATAACCTTTGCAGCAAAAGGATTAGACTTGATGAAGGCAGTGACAAGTTGTATGGCCTGTTTTCTGACTTGTGAAGATTTATCCTTTAATCGTCCAATACAGAGACCCAGCAGATGCTCATGTCGAGGCAGGGGCAGGCACTTCAAAATTAAACAGTGTTACATAATTCAATTTCAGTCGTACTAAATTACACAGATACTACGAAATTACACAGCCTATCACACATACATGTACATATATGTTTGATTTTAACAAATAGATAATTTTGATTAAATAAATTTTAACAAGGTGCATTCCAAAGGAAAATGCACAGAATGATGACATACCTTCTCATTTACTAGAGTCAAACAAATCTGCAGCACTCTACTTCTGACAAAAGCATTTACATCATGAATATGTTCCTCTAGCTTCTCCAAGAATTGATCTCGAGTGTCCTTGAGTTTGTCCTCAAGGTCATCTTTACTGAGCACCTTAAGCAAAATTTCTCCCATCACCCCCAGGACACCATTCCTCATTGTGTAAGACTGAAATCAAACAATTATTAACTTTTAAACTATTGAAAAGGCGGATAATAAAAATTAACTCTGTAAAAAATTATATTCTATTGATGAATAAACTGTCATTGAAAAAAGCATTGAAAATGTTACTGTGAATGATGATGAGTTTAGTTTAGCTTTTCTTATTTGGTACATCTAAATGTGCACCTGCAGCATGGCCAATAATTATTCATCCAATGATACATCATCTGTGCAAGGTTGGTTTAAACACCCAATTTTACGTTAACGCCCCCAAAATCTACCTGATTCAAGATCAATAATATACCGCCTGTCAATCATAGAAAAAACAATAGCTACTGATTTGATTGACAGAACCAGCTACCCGTGCTACCTGATAATCTGAATTTGCAGGTTTTGAAAATGATCGCCTGGTCACGCGTCAAACACTTTCATGTACCGCGTGAAAAGTCGCTTTGTATATACACTGAGGGTTAAAAAAAATCAAGTCGCTGTTATATTGCATGGTTGGTCATTTTATTGAAATAAGAGTAGAGAACTAAACCTTGACTTCATTTTTTTTTTTTCAATCTCCACTGCTGTTTGGCACTTTTTAAAAGCGGTATGATGTCCATGTCCAAAATAAATGTAACTCTTTTTTGAAGAAAAACTAGTAGCTCGATCTTTTTCAATTACTGCCTGGGACTTGGATCCGGAGAGGAACGAAGTTCCCTTAGCAGCTAAGACCAATAATTCTTCCGAGCCCCTTCTTCAACCTTTGCCGAGATTTTAGTAATCATCGTAATGCCCCTGTCGACCCTGCATTTAGGTGCACAGAAACTCAATGCGAAGCCCGCCAATTAAAATCATGACAAAATAAAATAAAATATATAAGAAAAATATTTAGCATTAACGTCATGAATTACGAAAGATTCCTTTATCACACGCTTTATATTTGCATATATATGAATATACGAATAGTGATCGATCTTAATTAAAATCTTACAAACAATACAAATCTGTGAACACGGACCTTCGGACATGCCGAATATTTTGGACAACATTGTTGGCACCGGGAGAAAAAATAAATACGTTCCGATTGTGGTAAAAATCCACACGCCGGATAAATTTGATAAATGGGATTTTTTTAATTTAAATATTCATACTTATTTAATAAATTTTATATTATTTATTATTTTTTTTTTTTGCTCAAAATTAGACACGAAACGCGTAATGTTGACCGTGATTACCAAAGACAGACTTCCTGTGTAATGCAACGTGTATAGGGATTTTTGACATCTTGAGTATTGTGGCTCTCCAGGTAAATAACACCAGTACTACCAAGACCACTCCCCCTCCTCAGGTAACCGTACGGTAAAAAAATTGGGTCTTTAAAAAGAGTTTTTGTTATTACTTAGAAACAGACCTGCTCTAAAGTTTTAGCATGGTACTTCATGCCATTGATAGCAGTGTCAATGACATTCATGTACCTGTAGCAAAAGCATCCTGACTAGATCAGTAAGATTTTGAATGGATCTCTTTTATTAATTACCTCTCCCTCAAGATGACAGAGGACCACACTGATATACGACATCATCACTCCAGGCACCTTCTCAGAAAGCTCCACCAGGAAAGTAGCAAAGGATTTTGTCCCTGTATTATCCCGGACCAGGTCTTTTGGATCCTTCCTTCCAATCTCTCTCATGATTTCTGCTACCATGCTCTTGTTACCATAGTCTGTGGTGATGATGCTGGTCATCTCAGCCAGTGGAGAGACCAAGTGTTCAAAGTGCTGTAACTGCTGTAGGATCTTCAGACTGGCACCTGTCAAAGGGGGATGAACTTTCCTTAGAGATGTGTGCTAGTGAAGCTCCCTTCACAATTAAAACATACAAAAGCATTAAGCCATACCAAATTTTCTCTATATGTAGCCTGAGGGTGAGTTTTGATTATGGACACCTTACACAAGGGAGAGAAAAAAACTTCTTTTTTGGTTAAAATACTTTGAATTCAGTAATTTTCTTTCAGTGTTTTTCAAGAGCTTATTGAATTTAACCAAGTAGGTACATGTACATATGCATGTATATATTTACACTGTGGCTATATACTAGGTCTTGATTAAAGACATACATCTTTCTGCAAAAACTGGAGAATGATGTTGTTTACACAACTATAGAGTATTATCAGGCAGTATGTTTTCTCAATAGCTACAGAAAGTAGGTATTTGAATGATAGGTGGACACTAAATAGAGAAAAAAATGGAAATGGCCTTTTAATAAATACATGTATAAAATGGATTACAATCAATACTGAATAAAATGATTTTAAATACTTGCAATTGGAAAACTTTCTTAAATGTTTCTCTTGTTCTACATGAAGATTTGATTAAATCATGATTTTCAACACTCACAAATTAGTACAGTGGTGCCTCGTTTATCCGGACGCCTCAGTCCCCAACGATATCGTCTGGATAAGTGAATCACTTCTCAAAAAACCCTCACCAAGCATGTATATATACACTTACTGGTATCAAATTTGAAGATAAAGAAAAATCTCTAATGTTTTGGTTTATATTTTATAGTTTTATAAGAAGTAATTTATTAAAGAAAAAACGTTAAAATGTAATCCACACAAAAAAAATAATTGGATAGACAATTTTATGCTGAGATCTCCGTTTTCATGGTTTTTAAAACAGTACAGAGGCTTTTATTCCCCCTCTCCTTGGCATTGACTTCTTGGGTTGTGCAAATTATGATCTTCTGTTGTTTTATTTTGACATATTTTATAATTATTGAAGCTTGTATGATATGACAGAACTGTTCAAATGTAAACTAACCCCTATATTTCCTGTATATTCATTACACAGGACTACTATAATAACTGAACACTGCAAGCAAACTGTGAAAGTATTGTAAACATTCAACGTAAAAACAAGCAATCTTAATAATTATCAATATTTTTTTTCTACACTCTAAGTTTTAATTTCGAATCATAAAAAAATACCTTGAAAAACGTAATCCACTTCTATACCTAACACCAGTTTTATATAAATATTCCTTTTCAAAGTATAATGTACGTTTATAGACGGTAGTACATGAAATATAAAGATATTTTTTCAGTTGATTGTGTACCTTTTTAAACTGTCTTGTGGGGAATAAACGTTTCAAATACATTTACGTTTTTAGAAATGGAAATTTTAAACTAGTGCAATCAACATGATCAAAGCCATTATAAAATCGCTCGTAATTTATTGTTCAATATTGATTATTTACAACTCTCCAAAATTCTCGTGAATTTACCGACGTACATACGGTAAACAATATGATTTTGAACAGATTATTATTCAATTAATGCACAGTTTACGCTAAATTCTTCGAGCTTCATAATAGACGCGTGATTTAATTGAGAGGTAACACATGCTAATTATAGACTCTGTTGTTTGTAGGTCACAGGTAACCGCCTTCAAACTGACTGCATAGCCAACGTTTTTACAACAATTAACACTACTGCAAGATAAGTGTGAAAAAGTCAAAATTACCATCCGGATAATCGAGTCATTTTTCAATGAAATATTATGTTTTGTAGTAAATATCGACCGTCCGGATACGGAACACGAATTTCCGGATTAATGAGACAGAATAACCTAGAAAAAATGGGTTCTCCAAAAATATTGTCCGGAAGGTGAACCGTCCAGATAAATGGCGTCCGGATAAACGCGGTACCACTGTATATATGTATGTTAATTTGTCTCTGATAAATGTTGACATAACTTACTAAGGCCATGGTTGTAACGCTTCACCATGACTCCTACAATGTTAAATATAGCAGTCCTTGTTTCCTTGGCTTTCACATAAACAACAGCAGGATTCTCCAACAGTTTGTAAACTAAATTTGTAACCATGCTAAAAATAAATCACTCATTATTTTAACTTCACACATTTCTTGTGGCGTGAATTCATGTCTGAAAATACATGTTAATGCATAGGATAACATCTTACAAAGCTGTTGCATATGTTAATACCATCCAATAGCTGGATCTCATGACTGGAGGATCCAAAATCTTACTTGACAAACTCTGCTTCTGCTATGGGTGGATCCCATAACCTCAGAATGTTCAGAGACACAAGATGCAGCAAAGCCTTCACTCCATTTTCTCTCTCCACCTCCCAATCTATAGCCATATCTGTGGATTTCTTGTTCTTACGACCCTGAAAATTTTTGTTACATGTACATAAACAAAATAAAATCAAACCTCATTATCTCAAACATGTTGCAATTACATATTCATGTATAAATTTACAGTCAAACCTTGTTATCTCGAACTCAATAGGACCAAGAAAAAACTTCGAAATATTGAGGGTGAAATACATAAAAATAAGTGGCTGGGACTTCCAAACAACTTTGACATATCCATGGGTACACATATTTGAGATACATGAATCGGTGTGCCAGATACCGAATTTCAACTGTATTTCTGTGACCAAATATCACTTCTGTATGATAAATGTTCCATTTAAGAATATATAGTAACTAAATGTTGTTTTAACAATATCCAAGACTTCAGCATATTTGTATTCAGTTTATTTCCTTCAGTGACATCATTAAATACTTATAAAACCAATAAAGAACTAATTACACAAGTTATTAAAAATGTCTATCTATGAGCCTTTTTACCTTTCCAGTGGTAATGACATCTGACTTCTCTTTACTGTCATCTTCAAACATTTCCATGAATTGACAGAGCAGGTAACATAACATCTTGACCTGGTTCAGGTGAGAAAGACGTGACCCTGGCTCTAATGATGTATCCTCCAACACACTTGCTACTTCTGTAGCCAGCGATTTGGCAACTGAAATAATATTTTCAAGTCTATGCAAACTGAATTCCTTAGCTTTAATCTTTTTCTTTTTAATATGTACAGTAAGTAGTTCCTAACCAGTAGAGAAAATCAAAATATGCAAGTCTTCACAATTACTATGTGTACACAGCCCAAACACTAAAAAGCACATCTTTAGAAGCATGTCTACCTAATTTTACATATACATGTATATATGTAAATAACTCACAGACATATACCTCAAAAAGATCAATAAACTAAGCTAATGTATTCAAAATTTTACATACACATGTACTACATTGTACAATTAGCACTTTCTTTTCTTAAAGATTTACAATTTTTCTTCCACATCTTCATACAAAATTTTTTATAATACACTCTATATCTGAAGGATATATCAGACCTAAGGGTTTGGACTTGTGGGTCTGTGATTGTTTTACCTTTCAGAAGTAGCTGCCAGGCATCCTCTTTTAAATCAGGCTGTACATCTTTTCTTAAACTATAAAATAAATATATTAAGAACATGTATAGATATGAATCATTTCCAAAATACTAATCTCCTATAGAAATATTACAAATTTCCTCACTCATTTGTGAATGAATCCTTTTTCTCAGCTGGCACACTAAGGTTAATAAATTTGATATTGAAAGAGAAACCAACATAACTAAAACATTAAACATTGTACATGAGACAATAATAAAAACACAGTAAGCATAAATTCTAAAGTACCCCTCCCCCCTTCCCAAAAAAGGTTGAAAAAAGATATAACAACAATGCTGCTATAAACCTTTTAAAGTATTAGATATCTACATGTTCACACCTTTTTTTCCAGAATCCAGAAAAGGTATGATAACAGTTGAATGATGGTCTTACCAAAGTATACTGAAGAAAACATCAAAATTTTCCAGCAAACATTTTGCTCCATTGACACGGAAACTGCTCTTTAGAGCTTTAAAAAAAAAATAACAACTATCTTAGTTAATAAGTATGAGCACAGAACATCGGAGATCATGAAACATCCATTGGAAATTTGGAAAATAGTTATTTTATCAGCATACTGATTGCCGTGGTCACTATCTCAAATTCAATGCCAAGTTTTGGGTAAAGGAACATTTACAATGTATTGTATGTGCTAAATTACAAACTTTCACATTGTGCTGTTTCAAATTTTAAGTTAAACAAGGTACATGTATTAAATACCTTGTCTTCTGTCCATTTCAATAAATTAAAATACCTCAAACATCCTACATTGAAAGGTACATATAAGAAAGCATAAACATTTACAAAATGTTGATGAGTTAATAAATTTGAGACATTTTTGCATATTGTTAACAGTTCCATCATATTTCTGTATAAGGTAAGGAATGTTAAAAATTGAATTATGTCCAGTTACCTTGTAGACTGCCTGGGATTTCCCTGAATGACAAAACCTCATCAACAACATACTGATTGATTTGTGTCTTATTTAGAAGGTCATCCTTGGTGGAGGGAATTATAAACTCAAAATTCATCTTGATAGAATTTCTGAAAGAAACAACATAAAAATAACTAGTAAGACCATCTTTATATAATTGTTTGGTTGCCCTCCCCCAACTGACTGCCTTAAAATGGTCGACTCAAAACTTTTTTTAACCTCCAGGAAGCAATTTTTTTTTCTTATGCATTGCGGAAAAAAAGATTTTGAAAATTCAGCATTGATTTTGAAATTTCCTTTGAAAAAAAAAAATTCTCACCTACCTACCGACTCAATTTTCTCATCCTGAGTCGGGAGAGGGCAAACAAACATTATTTTAAAGTTGGCCTAAAATTAAAAACTTATCCCTTATACTTCAGCGTTGCCCCTAGGAATTGAAATAACAGGGGACATTTAAAAAGTAGGGGGTTTGGGGTTCCTCCTCTAACGCGATTGAGGGGGAATACCAGAATAACCAGGGGATTACATCATTATGGGCAGAGAAATTCCCCGGATCCCGGGTCATAGGGACAACCCAGCACTTGCAGAGTCAGGAAAAAACTAGAAATATGTCCATAGAACATGAATGCCCCGCCGAGGGTATATTAGTAATGCAACATGAAAATTTGTATTAGTGTATAAAATTTGATGAGAATATCTTGAATAGTTTCTTTAAAATTGAAATTGAAATCTAAAAAGTTGGATATAGATGATAAATTCTCGCCAAATTATGTATAAGTGCACAAACTTACATAAATATATCTTATTAAATGGTTTCTTTAAAATTAAGCAAAATGTAAATCTAAAAAAAGTGAGGTCAAGGTCACAGAAAAGTTCAAGGTCAAAGGTTTTTGATGCAGTTGAATACTTGTCACAAATACGTATCAGCATATTTAAATTTGATAAAAATATTTTGAATGGTTTATTTAAAACTGAGCTAAACACTAATTTAAAATAAATGAAGTTCAGGTCAAAGAAAAGGTCAAGGTCCAAAAAAGTTGATGCAGTTGAAAAGGTTACATCAGTATATATTAGCATATGAAGTTAGATAAAAATATTATGCAAGTTTTCTTTAAAACTGAGTTAAACACAAATTGAGAAAAGTGAGGTCAAGGTCAAAGGAAAGGTCAAGGTCAAAAATATTGATGCAGTTGAATAGCTTATATAAGTATGTATCAGCATATGAAGTTTGACACTAATTTAAGAAAAGTGAGGCCAAGGTCAAAGGAATGGTCAAGGTCAAAAAATGTTGATGCAGTTGAATAGCTCTCGTCAGTATGTATTAACATATGAAGTTTGATAACACTGTATTGAATGGTATCTTTAAAACTGAGCTAAACACTAATTTAAGAAAAGTGAGGTCAAAGTCAAAGGAAAGGTCAAGGTCAAAAAATATTGATGCAGTTGAATAGCTCTCATCAGTATGTGTCAGCATATAAAGTTTGATAAAAATATCTTGAATGATTTCATTAAAACTGAGCTAAACACAAATTTAAGAAAAGTGAGGTCAAGGGAATGACCAAGGTCAAAAAATGTTGATGCAGTTGCAAAGCTCTCATCAATATCTATCAGCATATGAAGTTTGATAAAAATATCTTGGATAGTTACTTTGAAACTGAGCTTCGAACAGAGCTAAATGCAAAGTGTGACTGAAAGACAGATGGAAGGTCAGAAGACGGATGAGACAAACACTATATGCCCCGGCCATATTCATGGCAGGGCATAAAAAAAATCTGTGATTGAGACTGGGTGATCTACTTATTAGGATAAAGGTGAACTAAGGTTCATCCACCAGCCTTTGCTTGTAGGAATAATGTAGGTAAACTGAGGTTCATCCACCAGCCTTAGCTTATAGGAATGATGAAGGTAAACCGAGAATCATCCTCCAGCCTTAGCTTGTAGGAATGATGAAGGTAAACTGAGGTTCATCCAATGGGAATGGTTTTAATACCGATTCAATTGGGAAAAATAGTGTCGAAATAGAACAAATTGGAAATTTTCTATCATATCAATATATGCTGTTTGTTTATATAACACTTATTCTAAACTCAATATAATTCATGTTTTAAATCATAAAGAACAAGTATTCATTGTTTTACATATTAATGAATCTTCTTTTAACATTTTCATGCTTTCAAGTTGTCAATTATGACAGACACTAGGCTTTCTATAACACATCTTGTGGCCATATTAAGGGCTCTCTCCTTTAAGAGGAAGTGAAGATTTAATCCCTTTGTACAGCTTTTCACTGGAAAAGAATTACAATGTCATTGCAGTCTGTTTCTCTGTGGTAAATGAATTAGAAATTTTTAGTTTCAAAACTGGGGAAAAAATGCTTTTTTGGCATTGGAAATGGTTCAATTTATTGGTTCCAGTCATATATAAAAAAAAAAAACAACAAAAAAACAATGCTTACATTACCATGTTGCCAGGACTCACAATTATCTTTTTTCCTACTTGTCCATTCAGACAATGTCCATGGAATTTACTTGTCCAATATAACTTTACAGTTGTCAGAGAATTTTTCAATAGAGGACTAATAAACAACGAAACATACTGTATTATCTGATATAAAATATGTGATCTACTCATTGGGTCTATTTTGTAAATATATTGATAAAGTGTTAACACCAAACATGTAATCCCTGTTTCAGCTATTTTATCCACCACTAATACCCATGGCTTCATTGGTTCTAGGCTACCACTGAAGTTCAAAATCAAAAGTTAGGAGCAAATCACACTTTGATCCTGATTGAGTTCGACAACTGAGATAGAAATTCATTAGGACAATCATGTGAACTTTAAACTTACACACTACTGTCAATTTTAAATTTACTTACACCTGCCAATTTTAAATCTCCAGCGAAAAGTTGAGATCACTTTAGTCTTTTTCATTTTTTGAAGATTTCTTCACAGGAAAACCACTTGTCTGATCAGACAAATGCCCAGCAATATTCACTTGTCCAAGAAAATTTTCAACTGGTACAGGACAATCAGACAAATATAAATGTTGAGCCAAGGATCACTCCAGAAAATATGTTGCTTTCTATGCTATGCCAATGAGACAAACTGAAGCAATTATCACCTAAGAGTGTAATTGTAGTGGGCATCAAATGTAAATTTATATCTCCGATTTAAAACTGTTGACCTTTTTTGTGAGCTAGTAAACTATAGATTAAGCTTATGTCTACCTTCTTCAAGATCATAACAAAAACGCTTATCTTTCCTAACAGTATCATATCAAGTTTAAAGCTGAACACGCTTCGTAAAAAGAATCTGTCCGCCATATTCGAATGGACTCACGCTATATCTGAGAGCCACTATATATAGAGCCGCTCACTTGGTCACTGTTCAGTGTAATCAATTGTCACCGGTGTAGATGGACATATGCTATACAGCACTTGGTAGTGACAAAAAATACTGTGTGCTTCTTCTAATGCAGGATAGTAAGATACCAAAGGGATTTACAACAGTTGCACAGGTCAGTGCAGCGTACACAAACAAACACAAATATAAGCAATTGCAATGAAATGTAAACAAAAGTAATGCAAGATAACCAGCACGAACACGGGTCGCCATTCCACGCCGATACCAGTGACAATAAAGCAGTCAGGTGTAACGAATGCAAAGAGTATACCCTGGTGCTGGTATCTTAGATAGTAAGATCGAAAATGGCATATGCCTATTTACGAGTCGTGTTCAGCTTTAATGTACAGGTCCAGTACAATCAATACATTTAGCTACGTAACTAAAATTACCTACCGTAGCTTTATTTACCTACATCAGGTAGCTTTATTTAGCTATTTCCAGGCAATTTTTCACAATTTTGCTTTTTATTTTAAAAAGAAAAAAATTCACAAGTAAATGTCTATTAATAATTATTCTAGGTATTATTTAAAAGGCAATCTAAAGCAGAGATAGTTTTAACATTGCTGCGTTTGAACACTTATAAGGATGTATTTCCATTGTTTAACTGTACTCCAACTTGTGTGCGATGAGGAGTGGATAAGTATGATTTCTTCACATTGTGCTCATGTTAACCAAAACTGGATTTCTTTGTTATTTCACTCAAGAAGTAACTGTTAGGTCACACATTAACTGTTGTATATAGCCCCAAAACTTTTAGAACTTTGATTGCAATTGCACAGAAAAGACAAATCTCCAAGAGTGATTTTTTCATGATTTTTTTTCATACGAGTTCAAAGTTGAAAATTATCACTGCATCAAAGTGCAATTTTCTGCACTTTCTGAGAAAAATGTAATTTAAGAAATAAGTTTGATTTGGTAGCTAAATAAAGCTACTTCAGGTAGGTAAATAAAGCTTTGTAGGTAATTCAAGCTACGTAGCTAAATCTAGTGATTGTACCAGACCTGATGTACAAACAACATATTTACACATTTCTCTTTACAAACTCGAACTGTCGACAAATTAGTGCCTGAAACATGTCAAACGGGGCCGGGAAGTCAGTTGGAGGATAAAATCAAATTCAGTTTCATCAACTTATGTGTATATTACAAAGTGTCATACATTTGATCTAAGTCAATACATAGGGATGATTTCTCTAGAATTTCCGTTCTGAGAGACTGGACTTAATAACTCTGTCACACAAAGCAACAAAGAAAATATTGGAAAATAAGATTCTATAGTTTTCATTTGTGACAACATATGGGATTAAAATCCATTTTGCTTTTGTTTTACCTGGAGGAACTCTGCTCTATCAGTCTATGTAAACATCAACTCATCTTTCAAAATAGAGCGCTTAAAATTTCTTGCGCATGCGTTGACAGGAAGTGCTGCAAATTTGTCAAGTCGTCCTTCTTTAATTCGTAAATTCATTGCACTTCATCATACAAAATTAAAATATAAGTTTCAAATGTAAGTCAAACGCAATGAAACATGGCATGATGCGTTTATAATCTGAAAGATAATATATATTTATTTATTATTCCAAATCGGGGCCATTTTGAGCATATTACATACATGATATATAACATATAAGTATAATAATTATTCACAAAATGTGATAATAGTAATATTCAGCATATTCTTAATACATATACTTAGTCAATTTACTCATGGTTCATAAGTTGAGATAATTGTTAACATGTACAATTTAAAATACACATTGTAAAGTATAAACAAGTACCACCGTGTACCATAATGCAAAAAAGCCAGAGATATATACAAAAATATATACTGAATAGATATATTCCACTAAATTGCAAAAGATACCACGGGACAGTGCATTGGTACTTTATAAGTCACCATATTTGCATATCTTATGACCAAACTAATATTTATTGAGTGTTAAAAGTATACAATTGTTAAATTCTATATGCATGTAGAAAACACATTATATTTCTCCCTTGATCAATTCACAAAGGGATTTAAGAACATCATAATTTTCACAATTCAATATCGGTATTCCATATTAATTTGTTCAAGTTATCAAGAAGTAAAATTTGTTTACAATGTTGTTGTATACTTTCATACATATTTTTTCTAAGTAAACTATATTTTGGATATTCAAAGAGTAAATGAATTTCATCTCCAACTCGGTGAGAAGAACAATTTCTACAAGTTCTTAGTTGTCTGGGAATCCCTAAGTAACGACCTCGTTCTATTGGTAAATTATGTGCTGATGTCCGCAACCTTGTAAGTACTTTGCGTTGTTCAGGTGATAACAGTGCTAGGTAATTTAAAAAAAAAAACAAATTAGTTTTAAAATTTATATAAGTTTCAAGTTTTCCTTTTTGTAAATTTCTCATGTTGTACCATTCATTTGTGTAATGATTATATAATAATTCTTTGCATTTTTTTCTTGAAATATAAGGGTTTATTTATGGTAATAATATGGTTAAACCCAGCAATTTGAAGAAATTTACATACTGTACCATACCATGAATGCGATTCACATGTATTAGCATTAAGCTTACTTTGAAGGTATGCTGTATTTAATAATGGGAAAGAAGTCCCAAGTTTTTCTAGTCTATTCACATAGTTCATTATATTTTTTACAACATCAAGGTGTAATGGAAATCTACCAAGTTCTGACAAAGTTGCAAAATTTGAGCACTTTCTATGAAGACCTAAAATAAATTTACAAAATTTCATATGGAGATTTTCACACTTTAGTTTGGAGTAAAAATCATGCAAAGATATAGTGTTGCGGTTAAACAAAGATGGGCTATTTAAGATTCCCCAAATCTCACTGCCATAGAGTAATATTGGTTTGATAGTGTGATCAAAGACATGAAGAGATTTTCTAATGCTTGGTTGTAATGATAAAATATCTTTCTGCACACATTCTATTTCTTTACTTTCAAAAATAAAATTATGTTTAAGAGTTCTTCCCGCTTTATTGAAGATTCATAAAACCTTACTTTTATTAGTATTAACTTTTAATATGCATTGAGGCTTAGACAGTGAAATTTCCATATGGAATGCACTATCCCAATTCATCATATTGCCCTTACAGCAGCACATAGGATAGCTAACCTAGTATTTTTAATTTAGCCCCCCCCCCCCCTTAAAAAAACTATTGTGCGATAATGCTCTACATTTTTTTTTTTGTATAAAGAATAGTCAGGCATGGGACTGGAAGAAGAAGAAGACATATCCAAAGTCCTTTTCTTAGGCTTGAGAGCAAATATTATAACCGGCGGTGTGTATGATGCGTATATGTTATTAAAGGTAAACTAATTTCTTTAGATGCTTTTGTCTCCTTCTCATCATGTTTTAAATGTACAGATATAGGAACATATATAATTGGAACACATACATTGTTATTTCTTCAGCATACATGTTCAACTTGAATGTCTTAAATTGTATACTCCCTCTATGGGTCGAATGGCTATTATAAATGATCTGTAGTTGTAGATAAATTAATTAAAAGACCCGCCGCTGTCTTCATGGTTTTCTGGCATGCAGAAAAAATAAAGACTCTAATTACCAGGTAATAGACATAGTAACAGATGTCTGTCTGGTTTTAAATTGTTTGCACAAGCAAGGCTGGTTAATCACGCTCAATTATTTACAATATTCTTAAGGGTGTCTGTTATCGACTGATAAAGTGCCTAGCTTGTATTAATTTAAGGTAATAACTGTCCTTGTCGGATATTTAAAGTTGTACTTACCGGCATTATATTCAAAGACAAACGGACACGTAGTATCGTTTTTCAAGAGGGGAAAGGGGCAGCTAGAGAAAAAATAATTTACAAGAGAAATTAAAACAAACAAACAAACAAAAAAAAAAAAACAAAAAAAAAAAAAGAACAAAAAAAAACAAAATTCCCAAACGTAGTATCGTTTTTCAAGAGGGGAAGGGGGCAGCTAGAGAAAAAATAATTTACAAGAGAAATTAAAACAAACAAAAAAAAAGAACAAAAAACAAAATTCCCAAACTCGAAAGTGAAATCTTTTCGGAAAGGGGTGGGTGGGGGTGGGGTATCTCTCATTTTGGACAAAGAATTTTTTCAGTACTATAGAGAGTGAGGATCCAGGCTTTCTCCAACAAGGAAGAGGAACCAATCCGCCAACATATTTTTCTTTTGGTAAACGCTATACAAACATAATTCATACCAAACTAAGACACAACTGTTTACTTAATTATGATCTTTATAAACGAAATATTATCGATAATCCTTTTTGTTCATGTGGTAAATACGAAGATGTTTATCATTTCTTTTTTGCATGTAGAAATTATCCAAATGCTAGAAATAAGCTTTTTAACCGCCTGTTTTTGCTTGACGAGTTGGTCAATATTGACACAAATTTGTTACTTTGGGGTGACACAGATTTGCCTCTACAAACTAATCACACAATATTTGCTGCTGTCCATAAATTTATTGATGAAACCTGTAGATTTTAAATTGCTATGTTATTGAACAGAACTTTCAATCATGTTACTTGTTAAATTAATATTTCTATGCAATTTTTTTTTCTTTGCATGACAATTGTTATATTTAAGGAGAGGAACCAGTAAGTTGTAAGAACTTGTTTCCGATCCATTTGCTTATGTCAATAAAATATGTTCAAAACAAAAAAACAAAACAGAGGAACCAAACTTGGAATAAAAATTTCCATTGGAAATTTAAAGCAAAAGACTTTACGCCAAAATGTAGAGGAGGGATGGAGTCGCGGGTCTAACAGAAATATCGAAGAGAAGAATCTGCATGCGTCATCATCTAAAATCAAAACCAACCCCTGAAATAAAATAATAAAATTTAAAAAATAATAATAATAATAAAAATAAATAAATACATTGAAAATATACTACATTAGTTTTCGTTCGCTAGCCAGAGAGAGAGAATTCGAAGGGGGGATTTTTTTTTAAAATCAAAATGTCCATGACAGGACTTAAGTGACTATAAATAACATTTTTGATAAAAAAAATAATAAATCCTCATTTTATTGACCAAAAGGGTATCTTTCTATTATAAGATCGAATCTCTTTATCAGCGTCAAGTAACATATATATTAAAATTTAGATCATGTTCTTGTGAAAAAAAAAAGTAGAAGAAGAAATTATGAATAAGAGCTAGATTATATATTCTCTCTCTCTCTGCATTTATTACATTTTCAACAGTGAAATACTGTGATTTATTTATTGAATAAAAGTGATATTCTCTCACAGTGAGAAAGGAAAGGATACCAAAATGACATTCTGTCACAGTGTGAAAAGGATATCAAAGTAAGTAAAAAATAATTTGTGGCCTGTCATAAGATATAGTAACTAAACCATCTTGATAGAGGCTAAAACTACCACTTTTCCCCCAAATATGTGGCTAAAATCCATGATACTGTTTTCAGTCTCACTACTGCTTAGCTATGACTTCTCAACTAATAACGTCGTGGCCTATGACACTGTGTTAAGAAAAGACAGAGGCAAAGGGAAAATTAAAAAAAAAATGTAATAAACAGAAAATTCAATGTTTTGAAGTTGGAGATGGAATTTATTTCACTTGAGAGACATGATTTTTTTTTATATTTTCTCTTGTGCTTTGCACTCGTAAAAATATCAAAAAATCCTGTCCCATGAGTGAAATAAATTCCACATCCAACTACAAAACATTGAATATCCTCTATTTATTATCTCATATACTAGCATGGAGTAAATAAAAAAAAAAAAACTTTCCACACATGCATGTCAATAACCGCAGTTTCCTTTAGGCCTATATACCAATACAATCAGTTCCCCGTTCAAACTTGAACTAGTCCATGGATACTTAGACAAATTAACAAAAGAAAAAAAAATCTATGCAATGATTTATTTATGCATCATAGAATAATAGATAAATGTTCATTTTATCAATTTACATCTTTCATCGTTTTATTGGTGTAATTTGTAACTAACAGTTCAATCACATCACTGTAACCACGGACTTCGCAGCAGCGACCTGTCTTCAAAACTGCTGTCCAAGAAGTTCAACTCGATCCTCTTCTTTTTTCAGATCCTCTTCAAATTCTTTTGAGTGCAGTGTCATTGTAACTAAGCTTGGGAGAATCACTGAGGACTTTAGATGAGATAGAAACAGGGACTGTTTCCCGTGTCTGACGATCACTCCGAGTCCAGACTCATTCTTCTTCAATGTAAGTCTCTTCTTCAGTCACGTGCTCGTCTTCTAATTCCTCATCCTCACCAAACAGTTTGAAGCGAAGGTCTTTGACTTCCTCTTTCTTCAGCAGTGAGTATTCGTAGTAAGCGTTCATCAGAC